GCAAATATGCACTAAGCAAATACAAATCGTATCGAACAACAATTTTTATTCGACGCGACGACATGCGTGGTAAATATTTGCGATAAGAATGCGACCGCGACGCTGGCGTATATATGCATATTTATATGACGAGACATGCACACACAGATTATATAATGAAACAGAATTTCCTGCTTTTAAAATAGGATATACACACATGTGATTATTTTGAGCGCGTTTAGTTGGAAACATTGTGAGGATTTCTCCACGGGGAATCATGCTTGTTGTTCTACGTAAGCATGACATACGTGATTGTCATTGCGGTGAGCTTTAAATTACAAATGTTTCATATAACTATGTGATATATACGACATATAATTGTCAGTAGTTTTGTGCATTTGCGTCAACGCTACAGCACATGCGTCTGAACAAACACACATTACTTAATCAATCCATGCATATGGATTCAAAGAGCGGTCGAGTAATCGGCTTTTGCAACTTGAGCGCAATTAAGCGTTTATTAATAGTAAAGAAATAATAAATACATCAGAATAAAGTATCAATTGATTGTGAGTGCGTCCGAAGATTAACAAATGATTTAATATAAAAAGATTTTAAATTCTACATTAGAATATCTCCCGGTATTGCACTTTCAAACGTACTTCACTTAATTAGTAAATTCTACGTGCGTCACAGTCCGACAAATTCCCACACGACAGCCGTGTCGTAATCACAATTCTCCTTCTTGACATTTTGAGGCAAGGAATATCGTCGCAACAATCTCAATCGCTTCCTGAGATCTTCGGTTAATCCATACCTTCCTGGATCTCCTAGATAAATTCGCGCACCTCGCGCATATGTGTGTTCCAACCACGCAATTAGGGCATTCGCTATTTCTTCATCATATAGTAAATCACCGACAAAAATCACATCGTATAAATCTTCTGGGAATTTTTCCAAGAGGTTTTTCCACGACACCTCGATGTCCACGTGGTTCAATATCGCGTTCATCGCAATGGCCACGCAGGCGACTAAAACAAAAAATATATTTTAATAATCATTAACATGTACACATATGAGGAGGATGTTAATCATAACTTACAGTTGCTCTATCATTAATAATATGTGAAACTAATGCATATATTTCGTTCTCTCTTAATTCTTGGACAATAGCACCGCTAAGATTATTCGGAAATTCGGCAGACAAATTTTACACTATCTGAAATCAGGCTTTTATCTTGTGTATCTGTCATTTTGCATGATTAAGAGACGTTCTTTCAAACGTAATTGATCGCGTGCACATGGTTATTATCACATCCCATAACTCTGAGTCATATTAATAGGTGCACTCTATTAATAGATATACTCATGAATATTCATAGCTCATATTTTTCTATTTTGTACTGACATTGTTAATGGCATGACTAATAACAATTGAACGACTTCATTCAACTATTTCTAAAACATTAGCTAACAATCTCATTTCTACAAGCAATTTGTAGACAAAAAATTACAATTGTTTGATGCTGTACAATTTCTGTACACATTACTGTACAATACTGTACAAATAATGTTATATTTTTTATACTTCGATAAGCAAAGTCGTTTGAAATCGATATGATAAACGACTCTCACACAAAGATGAGACGTTTGCGATTGAATGCAACACAAAGATCAGATGTTTTCATTCCTAATAGGGATAATTAAAAGAAAGCAAACTTCCTGGACATTGATCCTATTCACTATACATACAGTTACGTCATTGAGTTTTTGTTGCACGTGATAATTGACTTTGCTTGTGGACATTGGAATGTCCGCGCTCTCTTGTATTCAAACATAACGTCCTTGACTTATATCGATTCGAGCCAAAAGCGTGCCAGATTAATATGAAACGCTGTACAAGCAGCGAATAATCTTATTCCGTGAATTTTAAAGTTTATAAAAACTAACGTTGTTGGAAAGCTCATTTATATTCGTTTATGCTATATTTCTGGAAGTTTTTTCTGCGTATGTAAATAAACGAAGAAAATCTTGTTAATGCGACAATACGCGGTGTGTTTGTATATTTGTTTCTTCTTTTTTTAGAACGCGCATTTTAAAATGTCGTAATTTACAATGTAAAAATTACATTAATTATGCTTAATATGATTAACTATAATGCCAAGGAAAATACTAATTCCAATATTGATTTTCAATATAGATATAATCATTGAAAATGCGTTGCTTTTCAATATAATTTCTTCGGGAAATTATCTCTGCATAATCTCATGAGGAAATAGCATTATTCAATTTGGCGTTGGATTGTTAGAAAGTGGTTCATCCGTTAGTACACCATACACTTGGTACACAGACGCAATACCAGGAATTAGCAGCCTTTCACTGACGCACGAGGGAGAAACCCTTCCTCTTTATATCTGCGGGGAATTCCAGCCAAGCGTTCTACATTTCTTGTCCTGCTAAGCCCTCAAGATGTAATATAATACTTTCAAGATAATGTCTATCACCTAATGGATCACATAATTTCTTAAATTATTATTCGCTGAAAAACGATCGAAAGTTCCCTTTTAATCCCAAACTCTAGAAATACAAATGCATACGGATAATGCAATTTCGAATACTGATACAAAATTGCCAAATACGATTTGGTGTCGCAGTTGGACTGATTTCTTTGACGCAATAATTTTATCAAGAATGAACAAAGTGTCGACGACTTTCATGATAATTAACAAAAACTTGGACATTCGTGGAAAAATATGCTTATCGCTTACGTCGAGAAGGAGGGCCTTAGCCAGAAGACGTTCATTGATAAAAAGGAGGATGTTTTAATTCTATGTATTGTGTGTGAAATGCGACACTTACTATCAATATTATTTTGCTTAGCTCGCGTGATTATAGGCACGACAGGCACGCGAACGACGGATTCAGCGGACGCATTCGAATGCATCTTTCCTGAATCACGCCCATAGAATCCGGTTTTATCTGTGTCTGGACTCTCATCGGCGTGTGTGCGCTGATTCATTGTGGATCTGTTCATCTCTTTCCACGTAATAAGCATACTATCCTCTTAAATTCTTAGCTGTTTGATTTTCTTTATCTATCGACATTCCTCAACCTAATGACATAAAAAGACTCGACCTTGATCAAGCTGTACTTTATAAAGAAATTCCTGACATCTGATACTTCTCAGAAAAAAAGAAAAGAATGAATAATTAAGAGTAATAGAAAGCAAAAATCTTTATGAAGAATGCCATATCGCCTTCTGTATTTTTTTTTTTCTCTTTGTTTTTCTCTTTTGCGGAAAATCTCTGATGTTCTCAATGGAGCATTTGTTAGAGCTCATTAGGTGCTGATGAACAAATCTACAAAAATTTCGTCCGATACTTTCAGCCTGAATACGTGTAAGATAGCCCACTAAACATTACGCCATTGACTCAGGTTCTCTCTCAATCTTCGCTTTAAATTGCGTTCGGAACGATTCGGTGATTCCCTGAACACATCTTCTTCCTCTTTTTCCTCCTTCTTGTCCGACGAACTTCGCACGAAGCGAAAGTTCCACTTTCATCTCATCTTTCATCAATTCTAAGAAACAATAAACTGACGCAATATTATACGCTTTGTATTATCTGCAATATTGATATACGTATTTTATCTGAAAGATTTATAATCGTCTTCCGACACACTTTTGTATGATTGTTTACCAAACAAACATAAAATCAAGTATGATAATATTTTCTAATGATGAAACTCTAAAACACGTATTATAAAAATTATAAAGAGCGATAACAATTTATTTAATAAAACATTATCATAACATGATCGGCAAATAACGTTGCAAAAATATTGCGGTGTCATATTCACTAATGTTACAATTATTGCGACGTTTGATTGCAACTTTATATATCTGTTCATACGAATCGCTATAAAACTTTTATAGATTATTAGCTTTATCTTATTAGCCCACTCATGGAGTTCCCGTGTGTATCTAAGTGACTGTGTTATCGGTTACGTTATCACGCAAGGGCATTGTAGCTACAGCCGAGTGGCACGTGTTGAATATGTACAGAAAGTCGCGGATTTCTGGCGCTTCGCTTTATCTGCATCTTTGTAAATAATGTAAAATTATATTCTTTCAACAAAAATATATAAAAACGCCAACAACTTTCATTACTTAATTCTGAGAAGTGCAGAATTTTATGATATTTAATTTCGAGCGAACTTTAATTTGCATTAACAAAAATCTAATTCTAGAGATATCTACAATGCATCCTTCATGATAATTACATTTTTTATATTTTAACTCGTTCCAAATCCTTTCAAAAATAAGATTGTCACTGCCATATATTCTTGATAAAATTAATGATCGTATTATACGTACTAACCTCTGCTGATATCATTCGCGATAATCTCGCAGGTTCCAATTGTCAATTTGGCAGCTATTGCTGCAGCGCCGCATCCCGCACCTAAATCCAGGATCCTTAGTGTATCTTTTCTTGAATTTGACATCGTTTTTAGAATTTTTTCTCTTTCATCGAAGATGAATCTTGTCAGTGCCTGACCCCCAGGCCAATATATCGACCAATACGGATCTTGGAATACGTTTTTAGTCAAAGAGCTAAATTTTCCATCCTCATGTTCGCTAATGACAGGCTTGTGATACAAGGAACAATTCTGAGTCAGCAGGAATAATTTCAATTCCGGAGTCAGATGGTTACGAGTGATCTCGGTATTTTGTAAAATCTCATTCGCCACATCATCGTGGTTCTCTAAGAATCTTCTGAGCGACGCTCTCGGGCTGCTACGCAGAAAACTGTCCCATGCCTCCTTTGTGCTCTTTGAAAATTTTCGTGCGAAAAACTGTTTCTTCAAACATATGATTCTTCCGACGATCATCGCTTATCTCTGAGATCTGAAAAGAGATGCTATTTATAAATCAGTTCGTTCAATTACATCGTATTGTGTTATCGAAGAAGTCTAAAAATATATTTATCCAGAAATCAATTGTTTGTTTTACAATGCAGAGTATTCAAGAGAACGGACATGATCACTCATTGATGACTTCCACTTTTCAATGAAGACGCCGATAAGTGGTTGTCTTCCTAGAAACATATCATGATTTGCAATGGTGCATGCGATAATGATGAATTTTTGTCTCAATTTATAAGTACGCGATAAGATTATTGATTGACCAAGTTACGTTTAACTTGAAACGCAAATACAGAAAATATTTTGTTTCTATATTTCTTTTAAAAATACTTGTCACTTTGATCTGGATGATTTTTAAGGATTTCTCGAGTATCTTAAAACAATTTAAAAAACATTAAACATGAGTTTTTTTTTTTTTATATTCTAATAAGTATGCCAGTTGTATTGACGTTGCAGGTTATTTCCCTAAGGAAATTTACATTTACGCAAACAGCATTCGTAATGCATGAGAATGCGAATGAGGAAAAACTGCTGCAAGAGATACAAAAACTATATTCATAATTGAAAATGTCCATGTTCAGACATGTTTTATTTCGAGATAATTAGATTTCGTGTTTTGTGTATAAAAAATACACTCTAGTGTATATTCTAATAGAATAAAAGTGTTCTTAGCGTGCAGTACTTTATTGATTACGCGTTTTTTATAATATTGTTATTACATCTTTGACTTTGGCCACTTTATCAATAATTATCAAAAGAATTTTTTGTTGGCTGTTACCACGAATTAATGTATCGACTTTGAACAGTCGAGTTGCTACCCGGGTGCTGCGTAGCTTTTATAAAATACCACATGTAATGAAAAAAGATTTCAAAAACAATAATCGATGTCTCAGACTTCTTGGGATTTCCAATAATCAGTTATACTCATAATATATATACTCATAATCAGTCATAAAATATTCTCTGATATAAAAGAACACCTGTAAAGTTCTTGACCGCCACATTTTATCGATTACGTTTGCCAATAAGAAATAAGTGAATTTATACAAATCCATTTGACAAAATTATATGTATGATATTCATAAAAACCTCAAAAAAATTGGATTTTTTAAAATTCTTGAACACTTTTTATAGATGAAGACAAAAACCTTATTAAAATTTATATTTTGATAATTCAGAATTCTAAAAGTATTGACCAGATCAACACTTTAATTCATTCAATTTTTAAGAGCTTAATCACCTTCAGTGCCCCTTTCTAAATTAATTACGAAAATGCTTCCTCTGTTTATTTTCCACAATGTATAATCCTGTTATATCACAAAAAGTATGTTGCGTAATACGAATTATACAGTCATTGTGATAATATTAGCAAACTCGATTTAGTTTCATTAATACAAAGCAGATGACCAATGGTTACGAAAACAAGCCTTCATTTCTACAACTTTCATATGATCGAAATAGAACGGCGACACGTGGAATTCACGTAATCATATTTCTGAAATTAGTTACACGAATTGTTCAACTTTTCCACCGCTTATAACATTTCATTGTAATATATTTTTTATTAAAACTTAATAATTGACATTATTACACATATTATGTGCTCTGTTATATAACTTGAAAAACATTGTCAGAGTTGTTTCGCCGTGTGGCGTATACAAAAATATTTTACGTTATGCAATCAATAGAGGCATTTTCCAGTTATTTCACTTTGAATATCATACATAATTCTTTTGAACAAAAGTGCGATCGTGCACTTATAATACTATGTGACGCATTTATCAGGGGATCCTCCATCCGATACTTTCCCAGGTAGATTTTGTTAAGTCAACGTTCCCGTTATCGCGGAAATTGCATGATTGCGCAGATGATGAAATACGATGGAACAAAGCATCCGCGACTTGCATCATCCGTAGGAGTTATATGCGATTAATATAATACGAGCACACGTGTAATCGATTCAGGGTGGAACATCTGGGATGGTCGCAAGTCGTTTGTCAAAATGAAGTTTATTGACCGAAATAGTCGCTCAACGTGGCTCTTTCTGGTCAGGTGATCGTGGATGATGAAACAGAACATTGAAAGCAGATACATGCGTGATGCAACCTGCAGAACAAATTTTTATAATTTTGCATTTTTTTTTAATACGCGGTATAATTACTTTTTAATATAAGATTTAAATGCGCTCAATAAACGATTAAACTTTTAAAATGTATTAAAACTGCATTTTGTATTTTCAGATCTTTGGTTGTTTCTATAGTGAGCTTCTCAGTTTTCAGTCGACTTCGTTAAAGGCACAAATGTCATAAGATAATTCACGTATAAACGATTGTCACAGATCGAAGAAGTCGGATATAACGATAAAATTGTTAGATAATTCAATGAATTGATATAACACGTTACCCTGACCTGAAACGCCGTTTCTCGCCGTCGATGGAAATTTGTTTGCGCTGCTACTAAGTAATTATGTTTTCTAACACGACCATGTTCTCGGTAAATTCCATTGAAATTTTCCTTCCGCTGAAAGTTTAACGCGGAATGAGTTATGAGATCGTTTAAATCTGTCGTTCGCTCGAATGTAATTTTTTATTGGTACTCTTTAAAGAGAGGTCTCATCGGTACTAATAAATATTTATTACGCATGGGTCATCGGAATTAACGTCAATGTTTTCCACATATTATTGAAAATAGACTGAAAAATAATACTGAAATTCTCAGAAGGGTACGATTTTTGTTTCAATCGAATATTATGTCGAATTTATGCTGATGAGATAGATATTTCGCGTATAAATAATTCAATAATAATTCAATCGTTCTTCTATATGGTTAATATATTACATATAGATTTTATCCTTTACATATCTTTTACATATCTTTTACATATAGATCGAGTGAAAGGAGCATAATAACATCAATGAGTAAACTCGTGCTGTTTTGCATTTCGTAATTTAATGATTCTTTAGTTGACGTATTAATATTGGAAATTTGGCATTTATCCTCAAAGAATAATACAAGAATAAGAGGCAAGAAAAAATTTAGAGTCAATTGTAAAGATAACTTTGTGTCTACAGAAGTTCTATCGCATCTCATTAACATATGAAAATATAAGAGCAAAGAAGCTTATGCGACAGTTTTTCTCGTAAGTTTACCTTGAACTTATGCTCGACCGATGTTTCAAGGAAACACTTAAAAGCTGTACACGCAACATATATGCAACGAGACTGAAGCCATACTCAGCCATTTATCGATTAATGTGCAACTAGTATGACACTCAAATGGTGTTAAAATGAATCACATAGTATGAGACTGTCAATAGTCATCTTATTATTTTTACATGCGCGCGATATTGGTCATTGTTGCTTATCTTATGAAATTCCTTAATAGATAAAATTATTCATTCGCAATTGCAATCGATAATCAAATATTGATTTTTGATATTTAATTTCAGTATTTGATGACACATGTGTTTTCCTCTAACACGATTTCCGCATAAATTCTATAACCGATTGCACAACCTATTAATTTCATCAAAATTTCCAATTTTAATCATAAATATTGATCACACATGTTGTTTTCTGATACAAATACTTCACCTATTCCTATTTTTATCTTTCTTAAATAAAATTCTACTTTTATTCTACTTTCATGCATATTTGTACTTATTTTTTATAAAAAAAAGAGAATTATTTTTGCATAATTCGTAATTAACGTTAAAAGAATTATAATATTGTTATTATTACATGCAAAACATCAAACAGCAACGACTAAACAATTAAACAACCTCTTGTCTTTCTTGCTATTTTTTTTGTTAATCATTTCTTCATCATCTATAAATTTTTACCTGTCATACGTTCTCAGAGAACTTGTGTTCTAGGATTTACTGTTTCTCTAGAAAATTCGGTGCACGAAATCCTTAATTCAATTTTGTTAGCGTCCCTTTATTCGCATTTTTTCTCGGGCTTCCCAGTAAAATTCGCATCAGATGTATAGTGATAAAAAACTCCGTTATGTACATAACCCCACAAAAGCAACGACGTTTACGTGGGGATCGGTTTTCCCAGATGAGGACGAACGTTTTGCGCATACGCAATACACGAGTCTTGCTGATACGCTCAGTAACGTATATATTTTACTGACATAAATAGAATAGACCCCTCATGGAGAAGAGAAAAATAAGAAATATTAACAAGTTAATTAAATGTATTTCTTCAAGCAAAATTAATGAATTCTATCATTGCATACAATATTAACCTCGAGCATGCTCAGTATAGCATTTGATATTTTATATTGTTTTAATAAAATGAATAAAACAAATTTTTTAATTCTGTACGAGGCGCGAAAAGCGCCTATCTGCATTAACTTAAGTACGAACCTGTAAGGCTATCATATGTTCTGTTACATTTGAAGATAGCCGAATGGTGGGGAAGAATTTTCTCGGCAGGGGGGAACAAAGTATAAAAACCGTGCACCACGCTCGCAGGTCATCACACGTAATCGGAATCTAGTGGAGAGTTACTAATCGAGTTTCTTTCCACGAGATCGTTACACGAGTGTTGCGCGAATTTACGTCAGAGCCGAGTCGAGTGAAAGCGGAGAAAGAGAAATCTGTTAGTGGTCCAGCAAGAAAAAGTTCGAGCTACAGCAAGCCAACAGCGTTGAAAATTCATTCAACCGGGGTTACGAATACTACGAAGATTCCCTCATTTAGTGAAGTGTGCAAGAAAGGTGCATTAAGGATTAAACCGCCAAACGAGCAAGCATCCGAGGGGACACTGACTACAGATATGACTTGTTGCCAGAAACTGCAATCTTACCACACACAGATCACAATGACCGACAGGTAAGCTATCGGAAAGAATATTCGACCCGACGGGATTTCTGTGTCTTTCACGCTGTACTTACTCCCGAATCGCGCACGCGAATAAGGAGTTGCGCGATAGACGGTTTTCTCGACGGCGATAAGGATATGCTTGGTCACGGCGCGCTGGCAAGACGATTTTGAAATTTTGATTTATCTGTCACAGAAATGACTAATCACAATCTCACATTGTGCAATCTTAGAATCACCTTGCCCTTGTAACATTACTTTGCACATTTCCGCATATCTGCGATATCGCAGAAATTGTTATCAAGATAATCTTACAAAAAAGATATTGCAACATTTCGTAACGAGGTCATTGTTATCTGGCACGATCTAAAAAATACTTAAAAATTTGGTATATCTTTATATTTTCATGGAAATCATTATTTGAGACGATTCAAAAATTACAAAAAAATATCTTGGCGTGCCGACGATAATTCCAAGCGTCGCTTTACGCTGTATTGCGCTACAACTTATATAACAACACTTTGCAAAGGTGATAATAAAGAATGATTTACAGTGGAAAATCGTCGTGGTGCGAAGAAAAGCGGTGCCGCCGAAGCACTATCGCCTGCGGTATGCTGCCGACTCTTCGAGAATTGGCTTCCAGAGGATGCAACACTCAAGGCAGCGTTTGTCTTGTACCTCTCAATGTCAAGATGGATGCAGCGAGCCACCTTCAGATGACACTGCTCGAGGCTTATTGCCGGGAGATCGGGATCAAGGTGTTAAGTGTGTCCGAGGAGGTGATACGAGATCATTTTTGCCCAGGAAGCACAGATATGTCATGCGTCCTGATTGCCAAGGAGGATTCATTATTTTTGGAGTTACCGGATTGAAACGGGAACGCTCATCCTTGAAAATTGAAATAAGGAAAAAAAATGGACTATGCGCAGTCCTTTATAAGTCGAAGCACTTTGCTAAGGATTATCTCTGTACTGAGGAGGTCTCTGCAACAAAGAGTGCAAGGAGGAATACTGATCTAGCAATGTATTTGGTGTATCTTATCAGCGAGGGTGTTGATAAGCAACATTATATGTTAAAATATATATTAAACGAGATATACCAGCCATCTCGATATTAGGTCTGTTTTTTTTAGCTCTTTGATTGCACTTCCTTTGATTTCGAATACTCTTTTTCTATTTTTCTCATTTCTCCTTTTTCTCTAATATATACTCACCTTTGAATGCAGGAAGTGTAATACAATGCGGCTGAAAAGAACGGATTTATTCTTGTTTCAACAAGCGAGTGATAGTTGGAATCACTTTGTTACTGAATAAGATATATTTATTGATGTATGTACTTTTTAATTATGTATACCATTTGTTGTGAAGAACAAACATAATCTTTATTATGTATACTTGGTAAAAATCGACAGCTGAACCATGTCGAAGAAAAATGTAAACTTGTACCATCGTTGATATGATGATTAAATGATATTTTGACGAGACACAAAGAGTTTTACTTTCCTTATTTCTTGTTTCCTCATTCCGATTTATTATATATTATAGTTCTCTATTTTGCGATCGATGTCGTACTCGTTTAATTCATAAGAACTTTCCTCGTAGCTTGCAAAATACCTAAGGAACTCTAATATCACTTCGATGGAGGAATTAAAAATCCTGAGCGTGACGTGAGTAGGTACACATACAAGGATAAAAAAAAAGTACACAGTAATACGCAGATGGATTGCATCTTGAATTATTTTGATATAAAATCCTGGGATTAAAATTATTTATCATAAAATATATTTTAAGATACACAATTTTATTCGATAAATAATCTCATTCTAAACATTTTTGCATTTTGCGCAATGAAAGTAACTAGATTGTTTCACCGTGAATTATTTTTTTTTAACAGACCTACCGCTGAAGTTACGTTTCATTTTTTCGGAAATTCTGACGATGGAGATAAAATTCGTGAATCTCTCAATCGACTCGTGCAACGTCGACGTCTTAGCGAGATTGCACTAGAATCGACGCATTTTACCTTCCAACAAAAGCCTGCACTTAGACTACAAGTACGTATAATGTAAATGTGTGATATCTGAAAATTAAGACAGAATTGTGTTTGCACACGTTAATTGAAGTTTGCTTTCTATTTTTATTCAATTTAAAAAAAATAGAGTTAATTATATGTCAATTGACAGTTTTTGAGAGTGTGATTTATTTTCGCATAATTGAGAAACGTTGCAAATTGTTCCTTTTTAGAGTCTACGAATTAATCAAATAAATGATAACGAGGTTCATTTGGGAGAGCATATCGTCTTGTCGTGTGCGGCTCAAGGAAGCTACAGTATAAATTTTATTTGGTACAAAGATGGCATGCTGGTGAACACGAGTAAAGCTACCAGGTAACAGAATAAACAATTATTCAAAATTTACATTACAATTTTGTAAAATAATATAGAAATTAAAATATATATACTTTATTTCTTTTTTAAGCTTGTTTAAGCAAGACTTAATATTTTTTTATCATTTTGCTGTTTTAGAGAAATTTGGATTAGCAATTTCCCGAACGATGGATCAGACATATACACATCGATATTGACAATCGAGAAGGCGACGCTGCTTGATGCCGGTCAATACATATGCCAGGTGGTGGATTGGGGTGTGCAGCAGTGCAAAGGGATCTACATCGAGATCAGAGATGAACCGGATGTGAAGGTAGTACCGATGAGCGCTTCTATAGAAAAGGTAAGCCATGATAGTAAGTTTGTTCGATGTGTAAAAAATTAATATTTTAAAAGATACATTAATATCATCATATGATTCACAGGGCAGCAACATACAATTGACATGTATGATTCCGAATATGCGTAACATCGGCATTGGTTTCGGTTGGACGAAAAATCGCGCCTTGCTTAAACTGGAACCTGGTCGAGCAGTTTGGGAAGACCTTTATCCGGCGGGTAGCATGTTAAAGATCACCAATGCTCAGGTAAAACCGTCATCTCATGCTAGAGTTTCTTAATCGATTAACTATCGAATTAACTGTGCTATGTAATACATAATCTTCGTTTTTTATTTCGTTGAAACGCAGCATTGGTGATAACATGTAGAGAATTTATCTCCACAGAAGTTTTTACTATCATATCTACTTAGTTTTATCTATTCCTCTGACCGTGAAACATTTTTTTTCTAATTTAGCTTGCTGATAAGATTAATAGACATTTGAAAACAGAATAATTAGTACACTTGATAGTGAACCGTTTAATTCAAAGCGGTTTGTTTATCACTCTAGAAATCCGCGATCTACACCTGCAATGTAGCGCATAAATCTATGTCCGTCCGAGTTGAAGTGATGAATCGAACGTTGATACCGATATGCGTCAACGGAATATCCTGGGATTTGCAATGGCCGGATACTGCTCCAGGATCGGAGGCACTGCTGGAGTGTCCGCGATATTTCGTGGGCCGACGAGTGTCCAGGCTCTGCTCGATGAAGGATGCTACCACGCCCGAATGGCAGATACCGGATTTTTCATCCTGCTTATACGAGCCATTGCTTTTACCGTACAATAATGTAAGTATTTCTTGTTTCTCATCAATCTGTTGATTACATTTACGAAGAGTCACGATGACTTGTTAGAGTTGAATGTGGATAGTAAAACACATTAAAACTTAAGATAGAATAAGATAGAAGAACAATAGAACGTCTTTAATAAATCATAAGTTAAAATTGATTTAACATACAAAAATTAAAAAACGCTAATATTTTTTTATTACTAATCATATTCCAATATTTATTATAATACATTATAAAAGTTTACAAGTAATTGACATCATTTAGTACAAAATATGTATAATATATATATAAAATAGTTTAAAATAGTATAAAATGACATAGAAAATTAGCAAAAAGTTTTTAATTTACGAATGCTAATTTATTACAATTGATTAAAAATATTTCAAATTTCTTACTAACGTTATAAAATAAATTTAATTTACAGTTTCGAAGCCTGACATTGGGTTATCAAAATTCCACAAGCTCGGATACGATCTTGGCCTTTTGGGAGATCTTAAACAAGCGTACATTGTCGCTGTATCCTGGCGAAGGCGATCGTATAATGAGCATGTTGGCGGAAATCGAACGGTATCAACACAGCATTGATCCACTGGATGCCTATGCTTCCGCAGAGCCTTTGACTCACATAATGAATCGAATACTGAGCGATGAATATTCGATATTGAGTCAAGAGGTAAGGTCAATCTAGAAATGAAAAGGTGATTTTGTAAAAAAGAGGTGTATTTACAAGCTTTGAATTATTCATTTTTAGAAACTATCGATATTACTTCAACTCACGCAGCGCAATTTAATCCACTGGTCTACACAATTGAAACATGTGTGTGAGCATCTGCCTTTATCATCCATGGTTGTGGATATTCAGCAATTGCAATCGCACAGCGGAGATAGTATTACACATTCTCTTCAGACACCATTGACCGATTATGTGTAATTATTTCTTATTCATTTTTATGTTATATTTCTATCTATTGTATATCTGTGTTGAAAATTTATATTCAAGTCAATTTTGACATTTTTATGTCATAAAATAATCTCTCAATTTTATTGCAGATATCCAGATTGGTACGAGGACAAAGTAGCAGTACGATTGTGGAAGAAAAAAGAGCGCAATGTAAAGTCTAATAGCACGTTTGCCGGAATCGTTATAGTGTACAAAAACATGTCGCGTTTTTTACCAACAGCTTACGTTAAGGAGCTCGAGTGAGTGAATTGATTTAGAAAAACGATGTAATTGTTCAAAGAAAGAGTGATCTTATCTATCTTTTTTAAGGATCGAAAAAATTTATTTAAATAGATTGAATTTAAATAAATAAAAAAAATTTGTTTTTTTTAAATACAAAATGGATTTTCTCATATTGTAAAAATATATAAAAAGACATAAAACGGCAATTATCATTATAGCGATGGCACGGATTTGGAGTTTCGCATCAATTCTCGAGTGATCACTGTCGCGGTGCCCTCCTTTGGCACCGATAAGTACAATAAGATATGGGTTGATCTGCAAATCCGACATTTACAAAATCAGACGAGCTCTTGGAATATTTCCTGCGGCCTAATGGGTAACACTGGATCGTGGGATCTCAATAGCTGTATAGCGAATACAGTGTCCGGCGACGTGACAACGCATTGTCTGTGCCCTACTGCAGGCACCGTCGCTGTTTTCTTGACGACTCGTGCAGTAAAAGTAAGTGTAGCTTTTACTTAAGAAGTTCGCGTAATTTTATCACTTTTAAAATTCATATATGTCATTAAATGTCTATAATCGAAATTCTATAATCTTTTTTCCAAATTGTTTTAAATATTCATATTTTTCAAAAAATAAAGATGGTTTGTTACAAAGTTTTTTAACAGCTTTACTATTATTTATTACTAATATTCTTGAATATTGCAGGTAGTACTAGCGAAAACAGAGCAAACTACATTCATTATAATATTCGGATGCGGCAGTTGTCTTGTTCAGTGCTTGCTATCCGTTCTCATACTAGGCACCTTTTGGTGGAAGCACAGAAGCTGGCTGAACTTTTTAAAACTCCAATGCTGCGGTGCATTAATCGGCGCAATGGCTATTTTTATTTATGCCGTTTATAATAATCTCCCAGAGGTAATTATACTTTTGTTAAGTATGTGTTTATTTTAAATATAACGTTTTAGTTGAGACCAATTTTACGACCTATGGAATTGCATAATTTTTATGAATTATAAACTTGTAATATAAAAATAATTCTATCTCGATATAATTTCCTATTCAAAAATCTTACAAATTACAAACTTGAACTTTGTTCCACTTTGAACATTTTCTTTATTAACTCCTTTGTGTTTTAGTCATCTTATTCGCTCGTAGCGATCGGATTAGAAGCGTTTCTTCTCGTGGGCATGTCCGCACCCATCTCCGAGGCTCTAATAATATACGCCGAGCTCACGCAAATCCGACCGAGTCAGCATCTTCAGCCGACAGTCATCGCCGTGATAACCGGTACAATATATACCTAAGCGATTGGACGATTTCGAAATGTGCATAAAATGCCAAACGTCATTTATAATCATTTACGTCAGGTGTCCCGATTTTGGCTGTATTCGCGACCGAATTAACGCACAAGAGTATCGGATGGCGACACGAATCCTGGTGGCTCATATATGGCAGCGGCGTCTATAACATATTTGTTAGTTGCGCCACGATGATGACTTTAATATTCGTGCTTTTGTATATGGGCGTGCTCCACAAGGTTCACACATTAGTGGAGGACAACATTATGAAAAGAGAAGCTATAGAAATGAGGTATTTAAATGAGGACAAAATGCGCTTCACGCGATTTATAGTTTTTACAGATTTTTGCAAATTATACGATTCCCTTTATTGCAGAATACGAATACTGCACCGCGCGGCACTCGTTATATGCGGCATTGTCGCCATGGAGGCATCCTCTATTTTCTACATAAATTCATCATCCATAATTTTCCACTATGTATTCGCATCTTTATCTTTCGCCTTGGTAAGTTTCGCAATGACGATAAACTGCATCGCCAAGCAAACTTAGACACACGTGTTAAAATTATTCTCTAATATTGACGCAGGGCTTTGATATAATAATCGTATACATCGTTAACGGCGAGGTTGCAATTATCGGACCAATGTTACGAAGAATCAGGTGGAAACACAGTGCAGACGAGGAACACACGTCAGAACCAATTAAAGGTATCCTGAATTTAACCCTGCTTGAGACATTATGCTAATCGGGTTAGCTGTTATTCTGATAAGGGGGTAAAAGAGCAACGTTGTTATTACAATGCTCTTAATATTCATATTATGTCCGTCAGTTTGCTCGAAAGGTGATGCAGAGGTGGAGAACGATTCGGCGACTCCCCCGGCGTCGTCGTCGATCGCCGGCGAGCCGTACCGAGAGGTGCGAGGTGTCGCCGCGGGTAGCATAGACATGCGCGATTTTGTGTCCGAGTCATCCACCTATGTCAAGTCTTCCGTCCCCGCGACTAGCAGATTCCTACCGGAGATCCGAATCGATCATTCGGACGATATTAATCTCGAGAATTACAGCACGAGTCCGCGCAAGTATCAGGAACAGCCGTTGTTTGTCGACCCGACATTTTCCGGACGCGGCTCCCGCAATGACGCGGTGACCTACAGCGTCAATGACTGCTGCAGCTTTCGCAGTGACGCGACCAAGTATCGCAGCGACGGTAAGATCTTCGCGCCGGCCGCGAGCGTGTCCGCCGAGTCTTCGGCCAAGGTTCTCTGCAGCGCCGACGTGGAATCGCGTCTGGGCGCCATGCCGGACGTCACGTTGGCCGTGAAGAGCGACGTCGAGCTGTCGTCGCGGGCGAACACGGAGCTGAAGAGCCGGGAGCATGTAGTGATGCCGGACATCGCCAACACGAGCGAGCGCAAGCAGCCCGACGGCGAGGAGAAGACGCCGGAGATCGTCGTGACTGGTGGTTGCGACAGCGCGACCAGCGGTATGCTGGACCGCATCTCTCACGATCTTGATTACCTGCTCAATCGCACGCACGCGAAAGACGGGGCTTAAGATCCGCTGATACTGTGAGAGAACGTACGATAGGTGAAGAAGTGTAGGTTGTTAAATTTGTACAAAACACATTTCATCACATCAAATTTTGCCACATGGATAAGTAAATCACAATTGTCACATGTAAAGTAGTGGATTCATTTAGAATAATATTCGTTGATATTACGTTTCGTGCTGTGTAGCACAAGGGACTCGATGCCCATAACGTATAATGTGATACAATCATACTTGAAAGCTGGAAATCAAGATTTAAAATAGATGTAATATCTTCTCATTTCTCACACTTTCGCCATATGCGCACACATAATCGCCAGACTGATCGTAATGCGATTGCTGATATCTAATCAGCAATAATGATATTGAAAAAAAAAATGCGAAAAATTATTTACTTTAAGTATCTCAAATTTTTCACATTCCATTGTAGAACATTTATACTTACGTCCGTTGTATGTCGTAAAAAAAGACTTATCGTCCCTCCAATAAACGAGTATAATGATGAAAAGTAAAGTGTACTACATAAGACTTCGATTTATGTACGATAGAAAGTTTTTCGAAAGGCAAGGTGATCCAAATGATGATATTTTCGAGTTAAAGTATTTATTTATCACTGTCATCGTACAGCCCTTTCATAATATCCACGAGTCAGTCGTCGCGCTTTTCGTCGTTTATAATTTGTATTATAAAGCTATACACATTCAATTTAGTTTGATAATCTACTTACATACTTAAGATCGAAGTTTATGTTGTTGTAGGTAGTAGTTACCTCTAGTAGGGTTAGTCGTTTACTTAATGAGAAATGCTTCACTGAAATTGATTCGACCGAGGTATGAAATTGGAGCGGTATTTCTTGGCCAAGCACGTGTTATAAATGCAAAAGACGTAATAAGATCTGTGTTAGTCTGTTAGCACTCGAATATACCTATATGACTAGTTTTCTGTGTCAACAGATTTTTCTTAAAAATATAAAGTATTTACAAGGATTTCAGCTAATTTTATCGAAATTTAATAACCTTGGTTTAATCACATCAATAATACCCAAGTATAGAGCAGGGCCGTGGCTTTTATACGATTATTAATTTGTTGAGCCAATATTACATTTTTTTCCTAATTAAAAAACAAAAAAAGTATGACAATTAGACAAGCATGCTACTTTCTTTCCGCGAATACTTATATTCGCTCATGTTTAGACAGACTTTATAAGACACTGAGTATTTTGACGAAAAACAAGAAGAGTGATGAGAGATGATTCGAAAAATTCGCCTGAAAGGAGCTTTAGATCTATACAATATTTCTTTTAATATTAATCAATTTTATAATAGGTATACAGTGAAAAGATAGTTTTGTACGTATGATTAAATTGATTCTTGTCAATTTGTACGCACAAAATAAATTTTATGGTAAACATCGTCATTCCTGCAGAGCGGAATATACACTTTTGGCGGATTAATTTTTCACCTCTTGTAATTCTAAAAGACATTACGAGAAAGACAATACATAATAAACTCTCATAATTGTATCCCGTTGGATCACGACAGGTAAGTATCAAATCGTATATAGTTTCGTGTAAATATGAATTGATATTCAGCAGACCTCTAACTATTCTCTTAATTATACAATCACAAATATTTGGTCTTTTTACAGTAAATTTATACGTTCTTTGTTAATTCATCGCATACCTGTATATAACGGTATAACAGGTAACAATCTGCGCAACATAAAATCTCTAAAATATAAAAAAGGCCAACGAAATTTTACAACAGATTTCTTACTTTGATCGCCTAGACATGAAAGTAATGAAACGCTAAGCAGGTCTTAATTTCCAGTCGTATCTACCTTAAAGGTGTAGCCACGGCACCCTCCCACCTTTACTTCCATTCCTCTCCCCTTTTCTGTTTACTTAAATATAAAAATACATAGCCAGTCTATACATAAAGCGTGCAAAGTGGCACAGTGAACTGAGTTGTCAGACGTCCTGGATGGTTAACTACCGCTCTCGCTGATTGTCGGCGGTTCTGCATCATCGTGAAGTTTACTCGTTTTGTTACTTGACACGGGTATACCTGAGGTTTTTGGCAGCAGGTTAGTTGCACTATCACTATTGGATGTTGTGGCGTTGCACATGGAATTGTCAAAGTGTTGCAGACATGGAAATTCCGAACCAGGCAGCAATAAAGTAGTTTGAGTAGGAAGATTGGTTAACGATACCATTCCCGGCGTTACCATTTGCTTGTTGAAGTATCTCCTCAATGCTTCTTCAATTAAATTGGCTATTTTATCACGATCGTTCTGCAACAATTGTAAGCATCTTGCAAAGTCTCCCACGGAGAAAAGAAAAACACGTCGGCAATATGTACGCGAAGCAACAAAACTCACTTCATTAATAAACCCAAAATGTACAAGTTCTTGCGCAAGAAGCATCGAAGTATCCGTTTGGCTCACAGGACATGTCAATTGTCTATTCATCTTGTCGTCCATTCGTAACAATATTGTCATCTGCAAAACATACTGATTTATATTGATAATATATAGATTTGACACAGTAACAGTTTGTAAGCTGTCTCACTCTGAAATACTCTATGTGCACACTCACAAGTAATTCATTACTATCTTCCCTAGGCTTAACATTACACATCATATTAACTACTCTTCGAGACTCCACGTCCACGGGCTCGGGTGTAACCGATTTAACCGATTCTGTCACTTCGGGCGATATTGCCCTCGGTCGGACAGGCGGCGGCAATTTCGCCATAAATGCAGTCAATGGATATATTCCGTACCTGGTAACATAAAGTGGCTCTGGTTACCAAATTGTCCGAAATAAGAAACAAAATCCAGGCCCATGTATCCCATGCTTGAGCTACTCACTTTACATCTTCAACAAATTTTTCTAACTTTTCCGTAACGGGAATATCACTTAATCGAATTTGTTGCGGCGGCAGCCCTTGATACTTTATTTCGGCAACTACGGTATCTGGTCCATATAGCCTTTGTAACACTTCATCTGTGATCGTTTCCGAAATGTTAGCTGTGAAAGTTAAATTACACGTTATGTTTTATAATCGTTAGTCACTTTTTCATATTGTTTTTATCGATCGCCTCTCATTTTCGAGTAATGCAAAACAAATCATCGTAGTGAAGTATTTGTAATGCAAAGTTGATCTGCGACTTACTAGCTGAATTGACCAAGGCGTGCGCTGCGAGTAACTTGAGAGAATGTACTTCAAATAGAACGGGATGAAATAGCAACTCTCTCGCACTCGGTCTACTAAGTGGGTCCACCTCAAGACATTTACGAATAAAGTCTTTTTGTTGAACATCGTCTAAAGATTCTATTGTCTTCCGGATGTTCTCTTCGGTAACAGTTGTACCCGTATCACCATTTCCCTGAATTTCCAGCGCAGCCATCTCCAGAGCACACATTCCAAATGAATAAATATCAATGGCTGGTGTGACGGAATCTTGACAGAGAAAATAAACAGCTTAAACATAACAATAAAAATATGATTCATGCGTTCGGCGCACAAGTAACGCACTTACTTCCATATTCTGGGGCCACGAAATGCATATTCTTCATGTTCGTTCTACAAGTCTTGATGTGATGATGAATTGCATCCGGAGCTACTGTAATTAAAAATAAAATTGTCATTTTGACAAACCGCTTCCTTCCAAGCAAAGCCGTCAACATAAAAATGGCATATTAATATGAATATATTCAACCGTATGTTAGAAAACTTTGATAGGACAGCCAACAGACAGAATTCTGTGGGTGCGACACACAAGTAAAGTACACGAGTAGTTAATTAACACGTTTGGAATACACGTTCTGTGTGTCTGCTGTCTATTACATCAAGATGAATGGATAAACCTCTAGAAAAATTGTGTTTTGGCTGAAAATTTATCCTAAGAGTAACTTGAGCCCTCATACAATTAATAATTTTCGCATATACAAATATGAAAATATCTCTGAAGAGGAAAACGTGTTTTCTGAAAAGTACAGATGTACGAATAAAACATAAATTATTATTTCGTTCAAACAAATAACTTCACATATTTTTTTGTGTTACAATTACAGTTTTTATATGAAGAGCCACTTTCGTAAAGTTTGCATGAATGTCGGGAACCCTTTGAGAAAACCATTGAGGAACCCTTTAGTAATTATAGTGTAAACAAAATATATATATATAAAGGTACAATGAAAATGCATGTGCCAGATGATTGTGAGGAGAACAAAGAGACACAACAGCACTTTGTCCTTCTTAGTTAAATACAATTAATAACCAGAAGGATAAATAGTGCAACATAGTAGCACTAAAAAAAATAAAAATAAATTTTAATTATTTGTACATTTAAATAGAACTACTTATAATTAGTATTGAAGTTGTTTACCTCTCGATGCTTAATTTACTTAGCTGGCAATAGCTGATGACAATCTGCCAAATGATTTTTTGCTTGAAATTCACCACCTTTGACAATTACACCAATTGTGGGGCACCGACGTCGGATTTATCCTCTGGATGGACGAAAGTACGATTTGTACTTCCTCTTTCGTCAAAGGCTTTGCTGTGTTTTTTTCATTATCTAGATTAGCCTATTTGCTACAATTAAAAATGAGGACTCAAGTTACTCCTAATATGAAAAGGCAGTTTAAACACAATTTTTCTAATGGACTCATGTTACTAACATTATATAGAATGACAAGAAAATGTGTTATAATCTAGATAGAGTAATAATATGTACAAACACTAAACACATTTAAATTAAGTATAGTTTGATAAAACCACATTCATTCCCGTGTAGTCACAATCAATATTCAATTCTCAACATTCATGATTTATACAGTCGCATTATATATATATATTAGAGATAAGATATATATATTAGAGGATGCTATTTACGCTAAAAAAAAAAAGATTTAACTATTTACAAATGATTAGTAAATATCACGTTTGATGCATCCCTGTTAAATATGCATTAACCAAGCATTGTTTTATAATACTTGTTGAAGTCTGATATAATACACTGCCTTACAATTATAATTATTCATAGTAAAGAATTCTTTGTGAGATTATAACTGAGATATACACATATATTTGTTTCTGTATGCAAGTAAATATTTTCATGAATTTGTATGCCAAAACATCGCTTCAGAAAAGCGTGTCTATTTTGACACACAATAATAGTATATTACTGTCATATAGTATGTATCTATTTCTGTTATATCTTATTTACTTTAGCTAGAATGAACAAATAAAAAGCACATAATACAATCTCTGAAATACCTACTTCACCTATACTTGTCACATAAAGGATATTTAAAAGATTGATTCCGAGCTTATAAAGCAAATAGTATTCACTAAGCTAAGCAAAAAATATCAAGATAAATCATTTTCTGTTTAGTTTAGTGAGCATTACATATTCCTTAAGTCTTAAATTCTCTTTTTCCTTAACAAAATACACAGAAAATGCTAGTAAAAATGTAGTTGCTATTTTCATTGCGTTTCTCAGACAAAAGATTGCTTGTGATATAACATATTTGCCTTTCTTCCGTGAGAAATTATGGCGAAACAAAAATATAAGCTGACAACCCTGTGAATGAAAAGATAGAGATACCTCACATATACAATAATCTCATCTTGTTATATAGTAGTTACTTTCGTTTAGAAAATAACGTTTTTGTCGTACGACAGTTTTTATTTGCCCCAGGTACAAATTCAGATATAATGCACAGACATACTATCTGATTTTGTCTAGATATCTTGGTATGCATTATGTATATATATATATAATGCATACCTCGGTATGCATATTTTAATATATGTATATAAATTTGATATAGCAGAAAAAAACTCATTCGCTACTTTTCTCTTACATGAGAGTACTTACCTGAACCAATTTTTACAAGTCCATTATGTTGAATAAATATAGTGTCACAAGTAAGATTTCCATGTATAATGGGAGGTGAACAGGAATGCAAATAACTGAAACATTTCAAATGCGATATACGTAAGTTGAGAATAAGTTGTGCAATTTGTGTTACACATTGTTTATACTACCTGAGCGCAGAAAGTATTTGCGTACACCACCGTTTCCATGCTTGTAGAGGCAACTTTTTTACATTACGTTTTGTTCGTTTTAGGAACTGTTTCAGGGATCCAGATGACATGTATTCTGTTATAAATATAACCTTGGGAAATAACATAAAAGTGAAAGTTAATAATGCGCCAACTTCATTTATGCAGATACAAGAAGAGCCACATAGTTTATGAACTTACTCGGGGCTTGTCATTGTGAGTGTCTGTCCAATACCTATGAAATTTAACAATGTTAGGGTGCTCCAATTGCGTGAGGTTCTCAAAAACGAGCTGTATCTTTTCTTCCTGGGCTTTAAAATTTTTTCTTTCCGAGAATTGCACCTCATTCCATACCACTTCGACACCCTCTTCTGTATCCATTGCCAAGTAGGCACAGTCAATACCTGGAACATCTCTATGTTCCACCTGCGAATATAAAAAGAAAGTATTAGTGTGTCTGATTGGTGATTTACGACGTTACTTTACGTCGCTAAGAAAATTTATCTTAACGATAAAAAAGTGAAACCGGACTGTAAAATTGATTTATTACAAAAGCTCATAAATATATGGTACAGTACTGTACAAAAATTAATTAAGCAGATAGGTAGGTAGGTAGGTAGTAGGTAGGCAAGTAGGTAGCAGGTAGTAGCTTTCTCTGGAGCCAACCTTAGATTTACGAGCACTGCTCAGGTACATTGTTATTTCGGATATTTATGTAGGTATCTGACCTAGACGTTGTAAATGCGTATTGTAGGCTGAACTGGGTAGGTTCATTCAATAGAAGGTACGGATCTATATATAGTAAATGGATTGTGTTACTGTAATCGTCCATTTTAAACGTACTTAAAGTGGCGTTGAAACGATTTCAACGCCTATTTACTATTACATGAATGTGACCTTGCTAGGAATTCGGGGAGGGGAGATGATTCAGAAGAGGGTTTGTGCTGCAGATATCAGAGACAATAATGTCGAACTTGTTCATAATAGCATGTAATGTATGCAAATTGTTATTGTGTTCGTTCAAATTATTGTAACGTACTCTGCGAAGTAGCTTGAAGAAAAAAAAATTAATTAACGCAAATAACATGAAACAAAGAAATTATTCTTTTTCCTCTGTTTCGCAGTATATACATACTTCCATTTCCGTAACTTCGTTTTCAGTTCCTCTTGTCGATCCAAAGTTAGTACCTTCAGCTAATGTGGATTTGGAACCTACATATACCTGAAACAGACACGTGTTTAATGATTAATGCAAAATATATACACATATAAGTGTATACATTGATCTCTATTTTGTGAAAAGTATATAATTATAATTTATTTTACAAAATATAAACCACATGATAACTCAAAAGCTTAATAATAATCCAAGTGTGAAATTTACCCATTGTAAAACTACTCGATGCATGAAATTAATTTTTATTAATACCATATGTAAAACAGTAAAAATGATTTTATTTCTTCTATATAGAAAAGCACAGGAAATTGCTAAATATCAAATTTCATTAATTTATACATTCGATAACAGAACGTCAGCAATCTATTTTTAGGATAAAATATGAATGGACTTAATATTGGTAAGTTGTTTGTGCCAAAAGTTCAGAATGAGTTAAAATACAGATGAAGCATGTTGAATAATAAGGGAAACAATAATCCAAAGGAGATATTTCTGCCATGCGAAAGGAAATCTCAATAATTCAGAAGCTTTTTATAACAGAACCATCTGTGTACATATGTCCACCTGTATAAATGCAACTTGAAATAAGTTATCCTAATAATTATTATAACACAATGTTGGCATAAAATATCTGTGAACAAAATTAAGACATGCAGAAATACATACATAAGATATTAGTATACAAGTACAAGTAAGTCGAATTCAATTTCTGAATTTCAGCATAATTATAAACTGCATAATAATTAAAATTTGTTTAATTGTGTTCGAGTACATTATGAAAATATTGATTTTTAATTATTTTTAAGACATATGTTTATTATAGCCCTGTTCATAAGTTATATACGTATAAATATATATTGAAGAGCATTAACAGAAGTGTTTCACATGTAATAATTCGATTGTATGATTCCAGTGGCTGCAGAAACCTAAGAATGCAGAACAACAGAATGCTCTTACAGTGCTCAGTCAAACAAATAGTTAAAATCAATACAGAGTCTATTTAGCACAAATCAATTTTATGATTTGCATTCCACGAAGATATCGTACCTACTAAACATCATATTATCATGATGGTTCTTAATTCAATTGTTACAACGAGTAAAACTAAATGACACGTAAAATTCAAGAGGCATCGAAAAGACGCTTGAAAGCATAGAAGAGATTTTTATCATATCTTTCATCTTTATTATATCAGTCAGACCTTAGTAAACCACGGAGACTTCAGATACAAACTAATTTAACATACAAAGGAGCTCTACGTCAGCAGAAATTCTAAAGGTAGGAATAAAGATAAATAGAATGGAATAAAACCACGATGCTTTGAACAAACATATACCTCTTCCCGACGTTTAAGCCACCGCCCGCAGGGGCTCTCTTCCAGGATCTCGCTTTCATCCTCAGAATCTTCACCACTTTCCCGCGGTGACTTGTGCTCTGGGTCCGTGCTGGAGCGGCTCCCGGGCATCACACACGCTTACGTTAGAAAGGCAGCAGCGAACAGCAGGCCAAACTCATCGGTGACGACGGCGTTTGATGCTCTTTCAGTCCCGCATCGGGCTCTCGCTACGACAACGTACCGGCAACGTACTGACTCGTGGTGAGCGTGCACGCGGATAAACGGCTGCGGCAACAGCGTCGGCGTCGTCGGTGTCGATCACGGCAGCGGCGGCAACGGCGACGGCAGCAATAACAACAACAACAATAACAACGTCACGTACGGTGCACTGCGCGTTACTCGTGCGTAACAACGCGTAGGCAGATATTACGCGCCCTGATCGCACTGCATTCACAAGTGACACATGCAGGTGCACACAGCGCGCCCGCTCGTCACCAACTGGCTGAGACCCGGAGCGGCGATATTTCTGATCTTACGCGACGTACGCGCGCTACTCGATGCTACTCGGCTTCGCTCAGGGACACACCGTGGTGCTGGACATCGCGCTAGCCGCTCCCGTATCGCACTGTCAAAATAAAACCTCCCTATTGCGAGCAAAACTTCCTCGAAGTGACACACACTCTGGCACTCATTTTTGCTGTGCCTTGGGTCATGTTCGCCCACCCGATTAGCCAGTGGCAATACACCTTTTAGTCGCGACTGCGACGCTACCTGTTGGCCAACTGACCGTGACAACGCCTCCTTCGATGAGATACAGGCCTGTGATGTGTGCTTTGTTGGCTAATTGGACAAATTATTCGATGCTGTTGTCGTTGAAAAGTTATAAAAGAGGAATATATGTCAGCACAATGGCAGAAGAATGGCAATATGCGTCTTTCAATATATCTTGAAAAAATATATTTTAAAAAATATATTTTGATAAGAGAGAGATAACAAGGCCAATAAACATTATCTAATGATGATAAAATTGTAGCAGCATAGTATGGAACACTTTTGCTAGATAGCGCCTGTAGTCTGTGCTATTTTTTGATTATTTTTCTATTGCTAGATGACGCCTGTTGTTTGTGCTACTAGTACAAATGTGCCATAGATATCTTATTTTATAATTATATTCATAATTATATAATATATTTTATATAAAATGATGCACTTGGAAACACTACCTGCACTAGAAGGTGCAAAAGTAATTGTTATAGATGAAGGTGAGTTATTTCTTGATCAGATATAGAATCTGGATCAATCTATATATCTTTTATTAACTAAATAAATTTGTATTTTACAGGATTAGATGCAATGCATGCAAAATCATTGATAGCTGGATGGCTCTACACATGGAAAGAAAAAGATCCTAACTGTAGTATCGATTTGTTATCATTCTCTGATCCAAAACTTTGGTATACCAATGAACCTGAACCGCTTACATCCAAGAATATACACTTACATGATTATTATAGCATAGATATAAATGAAGTTACAAAGAAAGATGTGGAAAATCTTGAATATATACTTAAAACTATCAAGTTGAAACCTCAAAGTACAGTTATTGTCAGTTGTTTGAGTTCCTTGGTTCTATATGCGGGCCTAGCAAAAGCTCTGTGGTTTATTGAGAAATTAAGTAAACAGGTATCACAACTTGTCTGCATTTATCGAAGAGATTTTATACAAAATAAAGTTCCTGCCATTGAAACTTTGGGCACTACATATGTTAAGTTACACAAATATACTGGTATTTGCCCTATAAACAGTTTGATCTATATTGTAGAACTTATTCATAGAAAATTTGGCGGTTCTATAATATCTCAAACAGAGATTGTAAAACAGGACATTGTATCTTATCAAATTAGTGCTGAAAAGTTTACAACAGCAAGTGTTCGCAAGTTAGATCAAGCAAGTACAAATCCACCAATGAAGATTGAATCATCGTTTAGAATAGAAATGAATGCTCGAGAGATGGAGCAAAGAGATAAAACACCTTTACCTTATACTTTGAATACAATAAATACATCCAAGATACTTTATCATCCAGACGATATGGACGATATAGATGAAGATGATCCTGATGATGATCTATGTTTTTGAATTTACTTTTCCAAAGTAAATTTTTTTTTGTTAACAGATTTATAACAAAATAATTCAAAATTACATGGATTACAATTATACATTTTTTTAGACCATATCACTAAGGCAACATCAGAAAATCATTACAACTGAAATTTGACAATAAAAATTACATTATTTTATTGGTGCAGTGTGTGTATTTGTGATTCATGTATATATAAGATATGTTTGAAAATGATTTCATATTATTCCATATATGTAAAGCAATTGGAGAATTATCCTCATATAAATTTTAATACGCTTCTAGCTATAATATAGATCATGCAGTTAATGAAATGATCAATTCTCCTCTTTAGTTACTAGAAAAGTAAGGTATTTTAATTATAAATTGAAAGAACTAATAAAAACTAAGAATTTTTTAAGGATAATTTAATAAAAGAAATTCCATTTCTGATATAATTGTCGTGTATTTATTATTTATCAACATATACATAGTATACATGTACAGAGATTCATTTTATTAAACAATTTAAACACGACACACAGTTCAATATAAAGAATGAAATTAGTTCAATAAAAAGAATTATACAGTTCAATAAAAAGAATAAATAAAAATAAATAAAAAAAATTTACAATTAATATTTCATAAGTTCCAAGATTCACGATATACATAATTTTATCGATACTATTTTTTATCATAGTAATTAAAATTATTAATTTTTCATATATGTCTCAAATATTAATTTGGAATAAAAAGAAGAGTATTCAAATATTCAATGTAAAACACTGCAATAATAGATCAATCAAAAACTAAATTAAAAACTAAATTAAAGACTAACGTTTATATAAAATTTTTGGCTTCATCTCAAAATCACTATTTGCGTCATTCCTATCTTCAATTAAATATTATTACAGTATATAATAATCAGGGCAATTAAAATATTCATATATAAAAATAGCTTTCTCTTGATAAATTTTTTACATTGAATGAATGCAGTATGTAATATACTAACCACAGCCTGTAATCATTTTACACAAAATTACAATGAAATAATTAAACTGAATTGTAATACTGATGCTATTTCTCGATAAATAATAGGAACCTATCATTATTGTGCAATCTAAACTGTGCCGCATTTTATTTCACGCCGATATCAGAGAAAAGTGCGTCAATAAAAAAATTTATATAATAAAATTGCAATTTTACTATTATAACTCAATTATTCTCACTTAAATATATTCATTATTTAAAATATAAATACAAATAAAACCTAATTTTGCCTATCTCGCAGGAAAAGTTCTGCATATGGAAATTTAACTATGCATTGAACGTATACAGAAGATTTTCATCACAAAAATGGTGCGAACCATCAATATGTTGTAAAACTCTGCTTTCTAATAAGCAACGTCCGTATTGTACGGCATCCTCTCGATTGTTGACAACGCCGACTTGGATTAGCCAGTTGACCAGATCTGTCCCCGAAAAGACTCCTTTGTATACTCTTAATAATCGTCTACGGCACATCGATATATGTGCTCGGCATGCATCTAAATGACATTGATTGAACTGCTCTCGAATCGCTTTTACTTCCGGGCTAAGAGCTTCCTCACAAGGAAGTTGTAGTTCTTTTCCTGTCAACATTATAAAACATTATCGAACATGTGTCAATCAATAAGTTGTTTCACAATGAGTAGAATATAAATTTATATGCAATATTACTTTCTCATTTTGCGTATCTGCATCTTGTATGTCTGCAAATATACATACGCGAATACAAATGAATTTGTGAATCTCGTAAAATATAAAATGTATTTTATAGCATAAATCCGTACCAGAGCGCCATTTTCTGCATATTTGTTGCAGCCAACATCCCAATTTACCCAGACTTGGGTCTAATCCAAAGACGGCAAATGCTATTAACGATTGTCCAAAGTTCAACGCCACATCCAAGAATGCAAGTTCAGCATAAATGCCAGTCAATTGTTCCATTATTAGTGTCCCTATGGAAATCGATAATCCCTGTAATATGTCGAAGTTAATTTATAGCAAACTGAATAAAGTTACGTATGCGTGAAATGACAGAGTAATAATTTACGTACAATGAACATCGAACACAAAAGTAAAATGAGGAAAACGAGATGTCGCAAAATTTGCGGATCGTCAGCTGCATTTGTTTCGTTTTCTTCGCAATTATATTCTTCCCCATCATTTCTGCATGTTCCATTCGGACAACCATTTTGAAATTCACAGCCAATTCTGAAAAGGTTTATGTCATTATCAATTTGCACCTTTCTATATACATTTGCATATTTTCATTTAACTTACACAGGCGTATTAATTAACGGGGAGACTAAATCTTCCACGTCTACTACATTTCTCTCACAACTTTCCACTGTAGAATTTTCTACATTGTTCTCTAGATGCTCAAACGACGTCGCAGTGTGCCTTCTTTGATATCTCTGTTGTAAGACCAGACAACCTAAAGTCACTGTGTAGAAAAAATAATTATGAAAATACCTTTGTGTGTTTTAAGATCTTGAATATATGTCTTTACAATGGCATGTGATAAGCAATTTAAAAAGATGATTATATTTTAAAATCTTCAATAAATAAATGATAAAGATGTGAAATTGACACATTTTGCGTCAGAACGAACCTATAAAGCAAAATATCAATATAAAAGAAGTCACCGCAGCTTGATATCTTCCCAATTGAAAATTTGGGTTTTGAAAATCCAGATCAGACTGACTCGGTGCAACAATGCTGCATGTTAATGCTGCCAGCAGAAGTGGTATTCTGTAAATCACATATTACATAAATATTGAGCGCAAAAAGTTGTATTTAAATTATCATGAAGAAACTCATATTCGTACCCCCATCCAATAGGATAAATCCATTTCAGGAAATGTTCAACGAAAGACAATGACCGTGAACTTAGAAATAATAATGTTGCTGCAATTGTAGCTGTCCACACTCTGCCTGCATATACACCAGTAGTTATCAGAATAAACTGTATATACCTGTAATTAATAAACAAGATTAATAACAAAACTTTATTTAGTATAGGTTTGCCAAATATAAAACTTTAGTCACCATAATTTTGTCTGATGACCATTTGGATCAAGGGTTGACCAAATTATCACACCTATCGCTGTTAGAAGCTGAAAATGTATAGAAAATATTTTATACACAAAATTAAGTTGAGAATACAGAAACGTGCTCAATAATTGATGTACATACCTGTGCAATTATAAGACACAGAGTGCATCGGTGAGTAACTTGATTGTATCTTTTTCGTCCAAATCCAAGGAAACATATCAACAACCAAATACAAGCTGCTGCTGATGCAACACTCGTATCAAAGGAGAAAACGTTCAACTGCCGTGCATAATTAGCCGGTGTAATTCCAGCGCGAACTGCATTGATCATTTTAGCCGATACAAACATGAGCGGGGCGGAAAGAAACGTACAAGCCACCATCGCCGACGCGATTAAATCAATCTCGAGATTATATTGTAAAGTGAAAATAAACAAAGCTGGCGCAGTCGGGATGGTACCGTATAGAAAGCCATACGTGCTTAGATCTGTCGTTTTATTGACATCATCGCCGGCGTTCAAGAGAATAACAGACTCTCTTATGACTAGAGGTAGAACTAGCAGTTTGACTAAGATCAATATACCTGGCATAACCAGCGCGGTGCCTTTCAATTTATGCACTTTTCCCACCATCATTAAGCCAAGGAGGAACAATGCGTTAGCGGAGAAAGCATTGCCGAACACTTCGAGAATCGAGGCGAGCAAACGTGGTACATTGTGCCTGAAGATCAGATTCCCTACTATCCCCAGGACTGTCATAAACAATACTGGATTCATTACAACACCTTTCATGATGGAGTAAACCATATTTCTACAATTTGCGTGCTCCTCCACACGACGTTTGCCTATTTCCAGTAGTACAAAGCCAATTGGATTTAAAATAGCTAATGATATAGGAGCCATCAAATACAAGTATGCAGCATATTCCGGATGTGTTTTTCCATATAGAGCAGCAACTGAAATGACAATATATACAGCATAAAGCATTGGATGTAGAGAACATTATGGAACTGTGCTCAGACATGAAAATTGTATTGTACTTACTCATTGGATATCCAATAGCAAAATCATTGCTTTGAGTAGTAAATATTGCAAAGAGTGCAGCACGTCCAGGATTTGATGGTTTTTTAATTACTAATGAAACTATCAGTACTGTAATAAATACACAACTTTTGGCAATCAATACAGCAAGCAGGAATTTCCAATTAACCAATGTGAAGTCAAGTTTTGCCAATGACATGAAAATTAAAGATGGCAAAGCAAAATTGCCAACAAAAGTGTTCATGCCATTTGCTGCAGATTTGGTTATCACGCCAAATCTTCCTGCTATGTACCTGTGAACATCCATATGAACATCCTCTGTTATTAAGATAGTTTTTATTAATTAAACCCAAAAATATTGCACAGTTTTAAAGATTTAACATATAAGTACATATTTCAATTTTTAGTAGCTTTTTAAATATTTGTTCCAATAATTAAAGAATCAATAATCATAAAAGTGAAGAAAAATGATTCTTACCCACATAATATAATACCAAAGCACTGTATCAACGCAAGATATAAGTTATCTATTGGTTCATCCTCCGTCTTTGCATAATAACTTGTATTTGATAATAAAGATGTCGATAGAATGCTTTCTTGGTTAGTCTAAAAAATATACACATCTTATATTAGCTTGCAAGCAATACAATATCAATTTAAACTTAGTTTATATACCATTTTCTCGCTGCATGAAAAAAATTATCATCTCTTTAATATATCTTAATTAGTGTCATAAAAATGATCCTCTTAAGTGATGAACTCATAAGGTGTCATCTTCATATTTCCTTTGAAATCAGTGAAGAATTTGTATATTTCAACATCACAAGCACAATCTGCAACCAAAAATGTTTTTCAATCTTTCATATAATTCTAATCTTCCACATTTGTTCGATTTATATTCCAATAGTTTGTAACATATGCTCAAATGTTACTCTAATTACACATATACACTCACAAATATGCAACTCATATAAAATTAGTGTTTTGTTGACAGAAAATAAGCGACAAACTATTAGCATTTCTGATAATTGATCTAACATTTAATCAATTTGAAACAATGATATTGCACAAATTACCTAAAATGTCACTAAAAAATATTAGTCAATCAAAATACATATTTGGATTTTCTTGAAGTGAAGAGATACGGTAAAACAACGAAAAATCTTGGTATTCCATGAACATTATATGAATATTAAAGATAAAAGATGATTAGATCGCTATCAATCGGTTCAGGGACGAGTCCGGCATAACGCAGGCTACGTTAGACACGCGCAGCAGGTATTCATCACGCAGTCGCGAATATTCGAGACTCGCCAAATGCGCAAACGCATTACAATCCAACATCATATGATTTGCGTCAGATAACTACGTGTCTAGATACAATTCACAGTAAGCTTTTTAATTACTCAACTTTGCCATCATGCAAATTTTGCCAAGACGTGAGAGAAAATGCAAGTCCTGCACATTTGTTCACACATTATTTTTCACATAATTTATGCATACTAGAAAGAAATATAATGCTAATAACATTCGTTTAGTATTCACCGTACTTGTTTAGTATATTTAATACTCGTAATATTAATTTTTTATATTTGTGTTTTAAATGAAAAATTAAGTAGACTAAACATATGGAATATCTATTTTATAGAATATTTAATTATATTTAAATATATTAAAGCAATTTATATGTATAAGTAAACATTTAGCAACCAAAAAATGTATCAGTATAATTTTTCATATATGTTAAAAATTATTTAAATATACAGTACAAATAAAAAGTGATATCTTATTAAAATATTAAGAATATTGCTGGAAATTAGTCATTAATGTTTTGGTATAAAATTGAAAGGATCTAGACTGCATCATTCTCAGTTATCAGTTGGTGATAAGATTAACAATTTATATGATGCAAAGCAATCAATAAAACAACAGGCTATTTCCTAGAACCTTCGACTATGAACTCGACTTTGCTTTTACCAATTGATAAGATATTATCAAATGATTAAAATAAAAATTCGAATTCTGATCCAATTGTTTATTTTTATCATTAGTCTTCTATATTTTATTAGATGACTTTTCTATATTTTAACATGTATTTTGTATAAGCTAACATATTTTTTAAATCATCTAACATTTTCAAACCTTAATAATTTTTCTAATTTTTCCACTATCTACTTTAACTTTTTACAGTCTCATGTCCACCCTATTACTGATGTTCTCTACTTGAATTTGTACCAATTGCGCATAATATTTTAATTAAATGTTAAATGTTACACATTCCTTCAAATACATCGTAATAAATTCAATAAGAACTTTATATCACATATGTGCTATCAATGTAAGCACAAAAAACATAATGTTTAGTATATGTATTTTATGGATAATAAATGCGTTAAACACATAACATGATAAAAATATCTCAAGAATATAAAAACTTAGAGATACTAAATTTTTTAAACGCGCCTTTTAAAACGTACTGTTACATATATCTTTAACGCGCAGTATGTCTATATATTTGTGTAATTAAGATTGCTTAATTAAGATTTCTTAATAACAATAATATTAAGCAAGAAAACAAGTTTAATGAATTTTGGTTTTATCACATTTGGGCTGCTAAATATTTTTTACTTCAAAATTCTTTTTTACGTTTTTCATATGTCTATTTGTATATTTTAAATGTAAATTTGAGAAAATTGTCATCACATACATGTTAATGACACATAACAGTATACTAATGATATCATATACCTATATGTGTTTTCCACTCGGCAGTGCGGCGAAATTGCGTCGCAATTTTACAATTCAACGGTGCATTGCAACATGCTATTTTTTTTGTACAGCTTTTTCCTTGAACCATATAATTTCCAACATGCACTTTTTATCCACATTCTTCTGCAACACCAACGTGTGCTGTTATTCGTGCTTACGCAAGCAACTAGATATAATTGCAATCTTATACAAACGTTCACACGTCAAATGAATTTTCTTTAACTGCTGAAACAATATTTTGTTGAGAAGCTTATCTCCAATTTCTTTAAAAATACGTAAACTCTTTTCTCCTTATAGGTACTTATTTATTTTATTTTTAACAACAGTTCTGGAAAATAAAATTAGGTACATATGTATTTGCAAGCATAATGAAGCATCAAAGGCAAATTTTAAAGGAAAAGATATCCATATATTAAAAAAAGATTTTAAAGAAATGTCGATAATTAATGTACATACATATCTCCAGTGAACAATCAGTTCTTGCGAATTACGTCATTGTGACTGTATATGAGTCATCTTCGGGTGAAACAAAGAATCGTTGTATCAATTATTTGCAATGGTGTCTCGATAAATTACAAAAGATAATGAACACTGAGTTTCTGTTACCAATTGATTTCATGTTGTTAATGTACCTTTGCTATCGTCGATTGTAAAACTCATTAGTAAATGCAGTTCTGAATAATACCTAGATAATTAGATTTTGATTAGGCAATTTAATAAACAATTTATACTGCATTCTCCTGCTATTATATAATAATACAATATTAATAAGAATGTGCTAACATAAATAAAATAAATATAATTTATTATACTCATGTTATATAAAGTCTGATATCTGAAAAAAATAACGTAATAATAATATGACCACATAAGCTGCTAGCAAAGTTGAGTAAACTTGAGTAATGACGCACGAGCGTCTCTCTCTCACTCTTTTAGCAGATATGCCAATGGCTAAAGACGCAACGTTTTAAAAGATTGGCTCGAAAACGTTAATATGCACGCTGTAACAGACAAACAGTAAATGCACAATATTCTACGCAGCAGACAGAACATTGCAATTGGTCTGTATCCAATTCTCATGAGTGAATAAAGTAAACTGCGTCGTAGCTCTAATGAGGTCATAATAATCGCACAGCCGATAGTTGGCATATTTAACGTCAACTCTATACCGCTTAAAGAGCTCGTTCCTAGAATTTTCTTTTGCAGTATTATTTGTATATAAGACATAAAATAAAACAAGCTCACATTCGACATTAAAATAATCTGCAGTCGTATGCAGCTTACGCCAGTATTGTGTTCAACGTAACATATTCGCTTTAATCTCGAAGATACCTGGAAGTTATTCGCGTAAGAACTTACGTAATATGTTGCAAGCGGACTTTGTAATGTTTTCAGTTTTGGCAACTTCCGCGAAAAGACAGACTATAACACTTCAAGCGTCTGCGTCGCACTAATCAAAGCTGTATAATCGCATGCCGTTGAAGGTCTTTCGAAATAGTCGCTAAAGATATTTAAAATAGATCAAAGTAAATCACGAGATTTGATCAGCACGGTTTTTCCGCGTTATCCAAAGACTAATTTAAATCAAATAATTGATACCTTTTTTAAGATAAAGCGAGATTTCTTCCATTCGTGGCAATATTAGACTTCAAGTTGTGTAGTTCATTAAATTAATATCAAAGTCCATCCTTTATCACATCTTACCGCTTTCATTTTTAGTCATCAATTTATTCTGGTATTTCGTGGGAGTTAGTCACCGCGAACGTGACGTCACAAGCCATCGATTGAGAACATTCACCGCATCGCATTCGTATGCATAACGCGAACAGCTGAGAAATAATTTCGAGAGACGCGACACCGTCGACCAATTATATTAAACTGTGACCTCGTTTCTCACCTTTAAGCTTACCCTTTATGGCGTAAGATCCGATCTTTTAAGATGCACCTTATGGATTGTGTGTGTGGGTGATTGCATGCGTAAGGAATAAACACACATTAATCTATATATTCTAACGGTAAATAACCTTTAATCCATTAAAGCTTATAATCCTCTTTAACTGTACGCTTGAGCAACATTTCTCGTAAACAGTGGAAAAACACCTAAGAAACTTAATTACGTGGAAATCCATTTAAGAGATTTTCTATTTCGTGTAAGTATATATTTATAATTATTCATAAAAATAGATTATATGAATAATTAAAACTAACTAAAAATTATTTCTCTAAACTTTTTTTGTTATTTAGGTGTCGTCATGAAATGCGTGTCAGCATTGTTGTGACAATCTTCAGACTTATATAGGATTTGTCAAAACACGATGATTATGCGCATATAAATAAAAAAAGAAAAAAAATAACTTTCGATTTGTAAGGTTTAAAGAATGTGTGCACAACATCTGTGATGTCTCCATTTTCACCGTAGGCTCAACCGGAAGTTGAAGTAGCAAGAAATGGACATAAATACTGTAATGCGATCGGTTGTTTACCCTCTTTACACATGTGCGCGGCCACTGTCAGATGCAAGGGATGAATGGGGTGTGCAGGAATGCGTCGCTGTAAAACGACCTACATGTCGCAACAGTTGTCCACATGTCGAAGGTTTGGTGTACATATGTATGTTATTAATGCGCATTAGTTTAGATGCGAATGTAATACAGTGTAACGATTTTTTATATTTATTGACAAAAACAAGAGTGACAATATCAATATTTTCTTTTGACGTAGAGGCGGCACCAGAAATGAATGTCATCGGAAGAAATATCTACATTTCAAAAGAAATAAAAATCGGTATGTAGTTACGAAACTATTTTTAAAAAAGAGGAAAACGAACATAAAACTTTAAGAGTCTTATCAGAACATGATAATTACGCGTTCGCTTTACTAGATAACTTTGGCGAGCGAATGACAGTATCGCGATCACGTGGAGAAACGAAGCACACAAGCGTCACGATCTGCAAGCGGGGCAAGAGGAACAACCGGATGAGAGGTTATGCGGAGGAAAAGGAGGGATAAAGAGAGCTGAACGTATATAACCTTACGCTAGTATCCCATCTCTCAGTTCTACTTGGAGTTCGGGCACGTGAGTCTTCGAACAAAGCTCACGCGGAGAGAAAGTTTTTATTTGTTTGGTGTGCTCGTTGTATGGGTAAGTGCGAGACGCGCGAACAATAAGATCGATATCACGATTGTATCACGTAATATCAAGATTTATGGTACTTAAATTTAAAAAAAAAACGGGATGTGACGTTCTACTTCCAGGAAAATCCCTTCCCACTCCATTCTCTCCAATGAAAGTCTCGTATGCCCTTTACTCCGAAAATCCCCCCCCATAAGTTATCGATGACTCCCACGCATATACGTCAGAGTAATATAAACTGTACAGCGCGAACGCAAGATGTGGGTTTGTCGATCAGAGCTTCCTGTTGCGAATGTAAAATGACGAAAGTCATCGACGTGTTTTCTCTTAATCATGCTCGAGGAAAATTGCAACCATTTTTCCTCGTATCTCCTTTCATCTAGCGACGTTCGATGACAGATGAGTTTTGATATTTTTTGTCGAGCAATCGTCCCTCGCAAATCGAGTGTGCAACATTTTCGCAGAATCGTGTGACGGGAATTGCATGTAAAAGGGCGCGGATAACGGGTGTTGTTCTGCTTTTCTCCTTTTTTTTTTCCCCTCCACAGAAAATCTTGGCACGGCAAAATACGACGCGGCGTATTTAGCACGAGCGGACGAACGCGCGAAATCGCAGACATGACGACGAAGGTCGCCAGTAGACACGTGGCACGCGCTTACGTATCTATTTGGTCGTGTATTGATTCAGCACGCGCGTCCTCTAAGCGTACATACCACCATGTTGGATACCGAGCCGACGACAAATCCGATCCGCCTTTCCGCATTTATTTCGCAGATTTTGTCTTATGGCACCGTGCTGATCCGTGTGCTTAAATAGCAGTGGACTTACGGTAATCACGGTCGTATATGTAAATATTATGATTTGCGCGAGATAACCGGGGAAAGAAAAAAATTAACGTCGACGTCATCACGATGTCGCGGTAGCGTCACATCGCAATTAGAACCCATTGTGTCCGAAGGATATTACGCGTTCTACATCGCATTGGGAATCGCTTGAAACAGATGTACAGCCGAAATCGCGTTCTTGCAATTAGAAAAATAGTTTAGTAGATTTTTTTTGCAATCTTGCCTTTTCAAAGCGCGTTTTATTAGGTCTCTTCCTCCTTTCTTTGATCCAAAGATATTTTTCAAGTGTAAACTTTATATTAAACGCGCAGAAAGCCTGTTGTAAATAATACATTATAATTTATGTTTGAATGTAGAGCGAGAGAAGGGTATAAAACACGGAGAGAGCCCTGTGGAGCCAATAAGCAGCTGCAGGGACGAGCATGGCTTTGTGCCAACGGTTGGTCGCTGGGGCAGTGAATGGCCGAGTTGACTCGAAACGTCGAAGACATGGTGCCAGCCACAGGGGCAGGCACGCGGGCCCTGGATCAGGGGTGTGCCGCTACCCCTGCCGGTTTGGGCCCATTACGAGTCACCAGCCCTGACCGTCTCCACGGTCGAACAGTATGAGGAATTAGCGGGCAGCGTTGAACTTGAAACGCAACGTTTATTGCGTGAGCATCGCTATGACACCATTGGCAATTTCCTCAGGTATGCAACACGATCATTTGTCATCACCCTTGTTTATATTTTTTGTTAATATATGTAATATTAATAACAGGTTCTATACGGACTACATTGCAAGCGGAGAAAGTGCATTGGATCGATTCTATCGTAAATATCAGCCTCTAATAACAGAAGAACACTATACTTGTGTCGGTCTTGGATTTGAATTATTACATCGATTGAAAGGCTTGAACAACCGATTCCCAGGAATAGCAAGTGGCCTCTATTTAGTATCTTGTGAAGAGGTGAGTTTTTCAAACATTTAATCATATATATTCCAAATATAGATCAATTGTGTGTGATCTGCATGATACTTGAGTTAATTTAGACAGAATCATGCTGGATAAATAATAATTAAACATATTCTCCTTTAAAATTGCTAATAATTTATTTTGTGTTGCAGACAATTATTGATATCGCCAGCTATGTAGGTGGTCCACCAGCGGCAGACAGCGGTGAGAAGGAACATGTACTAGTGTGCCTGAGAATTGAGATTAACGGACGCCGTGGTGTCATGCTACTCGATCCCGGCTACCACGTAGCGCGCGTTATCACTGTGATGGCCGATAAGTTATACCCTCACACGGGCTGGTTCACACAATCCGATGAGCCGACCTGCAAAAAAGAGTACAACTATTGTCTGTGTGCTAACGATCCTGATTATGTCGAGTGGCATGAGAGGAAAACTCGTCGACCTGGTGCCTTGGAGATGCAAGTCGCTCTCATTTATGTGGCAAGGCCATATTTAACTGCCATTGACGTTACAGAACGTAGAAATTTGGTTTACAATCACAGGAGTCTCCTTGCCAGAGATACTAAAGGCCATGTTACCGCCGGTATATATTTTCCGGTTGTATTAGACATGAATAACACACAGACCTTCACAATTTTCTACCAGACTGGTGATGGAAAGAAGCGAATTAAGATGGGATTCAATAAATTCTACAATTCATCTAAGGTACAGCACTATATCAAGATTCAAGATTTAATCAAAATGGAAAAATGTTTCGGCGAAGTCTGTATTTACCGAAATATATCTGATAGAAATGCTCTTATTGTTTATTTAGATGAGTCCTGACGCTGAGGAAATGGAGATAATATTGGAATGCGCTCGACAGCTTGACATTTCGCAGGATGCATTGGAGAATATACTCTCTGCTCTAGCCACAGTCATGAGTGACTCGTCATTTGTGGCGCAGCTATTGGCTATCGACGCGAGAATCAACACCTTAGCAGAAGCAAATTAACAGACGGAAATCACTTCACCCAAAGTAGCATCAACACAACATTACGTTTCGTTACTTTTTTTGCCGGCTTTCCTCTTACTTTTCCTTTCTCTTTTATTACTGCTGTAGTTTATTATTCATTCTTTTATTTTCTTTGTCTTAAGTGTGCTTTATTACATATTTGTAAATATGCAAGATGAATCACGCACTTTAAAAAGTATACCTTTTTTGATTATTTTAATACTTTTATACATAGAATATGATATTTTTAAAAATTGCTTTCAGATAAGTGCAACATATCTACGCAAAAATAAAATCATTAATTATTCTGTGTATAAAACTATTAATTGAAAGAAAAGGCATGTTCAAATAATGTGATTCAGCTCGTAGAACAGTGTCGTTGTTTTACAATAAATTTCGCACAGTAACGAAATTTTTGCAAATTCTCTGTTGCTATTACGTTTTCCGTGTGTAATTCAATGAAAACATTAATAAATGCGATCGAATAACATGGCTTAAAAGTAAAATTTAAGTTTTATGACTTTATATCCGCTTTTTATCTATAGAACATATACGAAGTTGATATTTTATAAGCTATTTTATATTGGTATCATTTAAAGAGTTTTTAAATGCTTAATTTTTTTAATTTTAGACTGATATAAACTTTGCGTTCTATTAATAATATTAATAGATCGATGTAATATTTTCATTGAATAATGTTGGAACAAATTATATATTACTATTCATATATAGAAAGAACTGTTCAATACAATTGTATCGGGTGGGTATAAGAGGGATAATTTTGTGTTTGGTTTAGAATAATATACAATTGTAACATTAAATTTTATCTTTATTCGAATAAATTATTTGAACGATAAAATATCGCATATAAATGTTGGTAATACCTCTTCTCATTATATATGAATTCACTTCTAAAGAGATAAACATCTTATTTGTATTGATACACGGTTTCAGAGATGATTATATAAGACAAAGTTCAGAACATATTTGAAACAAGAAATTATTTATTTTACAATTAAATATTCCATTACATAAAGGCGAACCTAGCAGAAACTCATGTCAGTATGTCTAATTACATACGTAAGCATATTTGTATTTTCTATATAAGATCTCAGAATCTAAATCTAACAAAATTTCATGACTATTCATATCTTTCATATAAACAGAATTGTACTTATTACTATTCTCATGTAATTTGTACATACTGATACACCTGATAAATCTAACACATTAAAAGATAAAACACGTTTCAACAAAAATTAACAATTCCTTTCATTAATAACAAAAATATGTATTATTCTTCAAAAATTTATTTGTTACCTTTTTCACATATAATTGAACTAAAACTATTGGAATAAATAGTTTTACAAGATAATGACTTCGCTACTTAAAAAGCTTTATACTGTATTGATTTAAGTGATTATTATATCAAAAGAAGAATGTATTTTATGAGCGAGTGGGAAAACAACCATTAGAAAAAATAATTATATAATATCCTTAAAACGTTAATAATTATGAAAAAGAAGGGTTTCTAAACCTGCTCTGTTTAAAGTGTCTTATTATCGAGGTTTTTTTATAATGGGGATAGAGTAAAGTATATTGCGAATAATAATTTGAGATGATCTAGTCGTCACTATCGGGTACAGCGTGACGCTTATTACTGACTTGTTTATCCGGCTCACGTTCACGTTTTCGAGATCCTGAGGCAGACGCTGACGTCGGTAATACTTCAGCCCTCGAAGGTGTGGCGGATTCCGGAGATTTGTAGCTGTAAATATATATCAAATTGATATTATATTTTTGTATAACATAAAAGTCGGACGAGACAAGTCTAAGAAGGAAGCTGAAGCATGAACATTTTTATGCTGGAATTATTACTGCGAAATCGTACAACTTTCAAATGTGGAAAAAAAAAAACAGAATGCAAAGAAAAAAGAATGCAAGCAATAAAAACAAATCATGCTCTCATCTTTTAATAATGTGAAATGCCATATTTTATTTCTACAATTATATTGCTCTTGAAGGTAAAAAAGAATATATTTAATATGACATATTTTTCTATTCTAAAGTAATAGAATCGGTCGTTGCCATTCCAAATATCAATGTACACTTCTGCTTCCTAATATATGTATTTATCAACATATAAATACTATTAAAAATATTAATCTAAAAACATATCACAAACAAAGATACTTGTAATTACAAATTAGTACTGGAAACAGAATTAATATAAATAAAACAAATAATAAGTAATAGAAAGAAACGCAACGTACTTACGTTGCACAAGTGTCACTGCTGTTTACTATGCTTTTAACTTATTAATATTTGCGGCTGTACCTGTAATGCAGACATAAGACGGTATATTCTATACCAATCTTAGCAGATTCGCTGCATTACGAATTATGCGTTCTATATAATAGGCCATAGTTTAAATATGATTAAAACCATAGTATTAATAACAGTACAATTATAGAATTGATAGAGCAGAATATCATGAAACAAAAACAAAACATGCCATAGAATAATTTCGAAAATGTTAACGACAAATAATCAAAGTTGTATTCTATTGTAACAGTAAATATCTCGCTGAGAATTTCATCTCTATGAAATAGTGAGACAAGACTAATAATAATATTCATAAGAAACGTTAAAATATTAATTGAAAATTGAATTAAAAAATCATAATTTTAAAAAATATTTAAAATATGGTAGACATATAAATAATTACAAAAAATAATAATACTTGTTAATAAATCTTTTTACTAGTAAAATAAAAATTTTTACTATTAAATAAAATCATTAAATAGAGCATTATTTTTTATTTATCTATGTATTGCAGTGCATTTTTTTTTCTTGTGGATAATAATACATGTGTTTATGAAAATCTAAGCCTACAATTCAGTTGAATTATGAAGTAAAATGAGTTATTTTATATATTCAATTATATATTTATAAAAAAAAATTTTTTTTGCTTTAGCTTATTTTCAAAAATATATTCTTTACATAGTCTTATAAATTTCAAATATCATAATTACTATAATATGCAGCAAATGAGAATACAAGAGAAACTAAACTTACCGTGGAGAGGCATTTTTTACTTTAGAATTCAAGGACCTTATAGCACGTCTAGGAGAGGCCACCCATCGTGTACTTCTATTAGAATGTCCACTACAAAAGCACATGACAATAAAACCAATAAATAAACAAATAAAAGAAATAAGAAAAATATTCCAATAGACAAAAGAGAATAGTAAAGAGTAAAATCATAAAAAATAATACATAAGAAAAAAATATAAATCATAATTATAATTTATAGATTAGAAATTATTTGTTTTATATTTTTATCCCAATATTATAAGAATATTGTATGACAATATTATTTAAGAAAAGAAAAGCTATAAAAATAAGCTTGCAATATAAATATGTGCAATGTGCAATATACATCTATGCTCCCTTAATAATACATATTGAAAAGCAAACATGCATATATTTATTTTAAAGCTGTATATAAAAAAAAGAGAAAATAAAAAAATATATTTATAAAATACAATATATAAAGCACATATATAAAGTTATATAATGCGGAATGTTGCATTTCCAGTTATTATTTTCTGGTGTATTTACTTTCACATACGTCTTATATAAAATTTTTCAATATTTTCTATGAATCATTATTAAAGTTAATAATCCAATTAATTAAAATTGACATAACATTGAACAAAATTTGATAATACATAAATATAAAAATTAGCACATTAAGATACAAAAATATCCAATTAATATTTAGGTAGCAATCAAAGTATTATTTCATTTATTTCACCCTAGCATGCATTCAAATTAATTAATTTATAAATATATAAAATTGTCAGCTTTAATTTAAAAGACCCACTACAATACCAAATTTTTTTAGAGTGTGATAGAATAGCATCATGACATGCACATGCCATTGTAGAAAATATCATAATGTTATGCAAAAATTTGTAAATGTGAATAGAGTATGTGAAGAGTATTATTGAATTGTTCAAAAAATTCGTAAAGATTGAGCAAATTGTGTTGAAATTTTTTTCTAGAAAGATAGAAAATTCTGAGAGGAAAGAATTATGAAGCTGTCCATAAGATGGCAGAAAGTCATCGGAGAAGAAGAGCCAATTCATTGTTGACTAAAAGTATATCTAATATAAAAAATCGTCTTCAAATTTTCCCTAAAAATCTTTACAAATTTTTTCCGAACGACCCAATATAGTACACAAAATATGTAATAAGATGTGCATATACAATCTTATAATTTGCCAATATCATACAAAAATAAACTTATATTACATATTCTTACCTTGGGTACGATTTCACTTGTTGAACAATAATTATTTACTTCAGCATTTTTAATTAAAAAAAAACTAACCTTGGTACATTTGTGGTAGATGGTAAAGCCAATTGTCTTGGCTCTGGTTGATGTCTGTAGTTACTAGCAGTTATACCTGAACCTGCAGCACCAATTGCACCAGCAACGCGTCGTGTACGCGTTTCCCACTCGTGATTGAAACTCTCTGCCTCTTCTACAATAAATAAGCATGTGATAAATTTTGTATGTAAAATAAAAAATTTCTTTTAATCTCTTTCCGTCATTAATTCATGTTATTAATTTTTATAATTTTTTACAATTTTGTAGATTATAAAAAGAATTACCTTCCTCAAGATTGATAAATTCCTGGTGTTCTTCTTCATCACCATGCACATTTCGCTCTCTTTCAAGGATATGTGCCCTTTCGCCAATATGATGACCAATAGCCATTTTTCTTGTTCCAGTACGAGAGTCGCTTACTGTCTTTTTAGTTTCTTTTATACCACCAGGTGCCACTCTTGTAGACATAGTTTCTTGATAAACTTGTGGGCGTCCATCAGGGCCACTGGACATAGTCATTACAGACTGGCTCATAAACGAATGACAATTTCCAGCTGGTGCCATATTATTCTATAAATTAAATATCAAATAATTTTAAAGTTGTTAATTATTAATCTATGATCAATTATCTCAAATTATACTTACAAAACCAAATCTGCCATAATGTTGGTCAAATAGCGAGAGTGGCATGTCGTTGTAAGGGCTTCTACCATGATGAGGCATAAGAGCATTCTGATTCATCATGTTAAACGGGTCAGTGAGCATGGAGTTCATCATGGTATTCATGTGCCTCATGGTATTCATTGACGAGCTGTTCATAAGTAATTTAAAAATTTATTTTTTATTTTTACAGATTTTTTAATTCAAACAAATAGCAAAGTAAATTGTATTTTCTTAAGACATGTTGACTTTTAAAAAAATATAGGACAAAACAATTGATATCACAGATGAATTGCTATAGAAACTTGTTTTAATTGATATTAATAATGTCTTCACATAGATATTAAAACAATTATGTCACCAAGATTAATTGAGATATTAACTTTGATTAATCTAGTATTTCCAAATCTTTATTACAAAAATAAAGTTACTTATTAAATATAAATTTCTCATCTTCTGTAATTTTCAGAAATATGTGCCATAATGCAAAATATTTTTAACAAATTGTTGAAGCCAGCAGAGTTTTCATATTTCTACATACCAAAAAATGAAATCAACTCAATGACTTTGTGGTTTTTTCATATAAATATTCTAGTGAAAAAAAAACCCTTGTAAAAAAATGTACATAAAATATACTCAACACTCTGAAATCACTCTACACTCTATCTGATGAGGTACATGAATAACTTGTTCTTCTGTATCTCAAACATATAAATTATGCCAAAAGCATAGATAAACAAACTTTAATTTCGATGCGGTACAAGTCATAAATATTAACAATGTGTCTGATAGCGTTCATTGTGACACCCATCACTTTCCACATAGAATCTTAAAAGCAACTCAAACTGATACGTGATATCCAGTAGAAATAACGGTGAGAATTACCCGAAAAAGTTGAAAATATCGTCATCACCCACATATCCGAATAAGGACATTTTGGCGAATATTCTTGGGGGCTTGAGTTCGGGATTCGAAAAATTTACTGTAGCGATCGATAGAAGACGGATTTTCTGACTGCGCGTCACACACGAAAACGACCGAATGCACTTGCAACGCGTGAGAGCATCTTCCCCAGTTGCAATCTGGAAAGTTCCAGAATGATCCACAAAGTGCGACAAACATAATGTAGAATTCACACTGCTTCTGTGTCCAATTTCCAATGGAAACAGGCAATAATAAACGTCCATTAGCTAATGCAATGCATTAAGATATTTCGCTTTAAGCGCAGACGTGCTGATGCATACGCTATCTAGTGATAGTTTCTTCTAACTTAGCGAAGATGCGCTGGTGTGAATTCTCCATTAGGCTAATATTTTATTTGACGCATGACGAGCTTCGTCGGACGTGTTAATTGGCTGTTAAATAGAGTGTTTCTAAAATCTAGAAGAAATTTCGGGGGCCCAGCATTGTTCGGGCATATCAGAACCTGCTTCATTTGCTTCGGCGGATTGATTGGAGGTTACTAAATGGCGATAATCATGTCAGATGCGGAGAATTCGCCGCCACTTGTCGTTAGTTAACACGGCAGAGCATAGGATATTCGAGTGACCGTGCAAAAGCTGTCGGGATAAGACGAAAAAGCATAAAACTTGCGGTCTTGCTGCGTGACGAACATATGGTGCTTGTCTATGCCGCGTTACGAGCCGGGAAACTGTCTCGGCGAACTAATTGTGGCCACATCATCTGGCCTTGATAAAAATACGCAATCAGCTGTCCTGCTTGTTTATTTCTTCCGATAACGACAGTTCTGTACACTTCTCTTCGCCTGTCAGTTTAATAGATCTTGACGTGTCATCAACCATCTCCGAAGAAGCATCGAACGGTTCGGAAAAAGATTTACCGTTCTCTAAATCTAGTTCGCAGTCGCGAGATAAAATTATGATTCATCCTCGCAATCGCACAACGAACACGTCTGGCCACCTAACTGAAATGATAAGCTCGCATAATGCATAAGTTTCATCAAACTATGTAATGTGATGTGTTATTGATTCGAAAAACGATAATACGTCTCATGTGCAGAGAAAAGATAGAAATAAATAAAAAGGAAAAGAAAGAAGCGAAAAGATCTTGAGAGAATCCGTGTGATACATCTTCGATTCACACTTTCCATATGACAATGGAATTCTTGAAATGAGATGGATTAGATGGAAAAAATTTTGGTGGACCATGTGCGCTACTAAGAGTCTGATATCTTGACAAAAAGGGGATTTATTTTTTTTAGCAAACAATGGCTTACCATGCTTTTATTTGGAGACTGTTGTTTGTGGCATGTAGTATACAGGCATTATGGGCCATATCGGAAGACGATCCGTTAGAATACATGAGCAAGGAGGAGAGAGAAGCTTTAAAGTTTGTATTATCTGCTATGTGTCTAAACCACTATACACTACCATTTTCCTTATAATTGTAATGTTATATTTTACAGGGAAGAAGCAAGGGATATGTTTTATCATGCATACAATGCTTATATGGTAAATACTGCTTAATACATTAATTACATCTTTATTTTTGATTCATGTCATTGCATTGTTCAAGATAATAATTATATATCTCAGATTTATTAATATTAATATGACAGATAATTTGTGTATTAAATAAAAGAAATTATAAAATTAAATATTTTTTTATCGAATAAAGCATACTATTTTAATAGAAAGTAAGTGTAATAAGAATTTTTTTAATTTCTTCAAGGATAATGCATATCCCGCTGATGAACTGATGCCATTAAGCTGCAAAGGGCGATACAGAGGCTCAGAACCAAATAGGGGTGATATAGATTCTACATTGGGAAAGTAAGAAAATTGATTTTACCTTGATTTTTTTAGTATAATATTGCCATAATTGTAACACGTTTTAATTTGTAATTTTTAGTTTTTCACTTACTTTGGTGGATACGCTAGATACATTAGTGGTAAGTTCAATCGTATACAATTTAACATTTGTGGCAAGTGGCAATTTAATTTGCAAATATAATCATTTTACATATTAGGTACTGGGAGATTTGGAGGAATTCGGAAATGCAGTCAAACTTGTTGCTAGAGATGTAAGCTTTGATACAGATGTTATTGTTTCTCTATTTGAAACTAATATTAGAATGCTGGGGTGAGTAGAATTATTGCGGTTATAACATGTGTTATAATATGTTTAAAATATACTAAATGTTATTTGTTTAAATGTTTTCTAGAGGTCTTCTCAGTGGTCATATATTAGCCGAATATCTACAGCAGAGGGCTGATATAATGCCATGGTACAGAGGAGAACTTTTGGATTTAGCTAAAGATTTAGGATATAGATTTTTACCTGCATTTAACACAACTACCGGAATACCTTATGGCAGAGTAAGCCGATGATACGTTTCATTTTAATGTTTCATTTAAATGTTAACATGCATTTATTTTCAAAATTATTTTAAAATTAATTTTATTTTATTGAAAACTACGAATTTATTTTATATTCTAATAGTTAAGTCTTGGTGATTTTTGATTTGGCTAACATTTTAATATTTTGTTTTACAGATAAATTTAAAACATGGTATGAAAGGAGTTCCTATGGAAGTATCGAGGGAGACATGTACCGCTTGTGCAGGTAGCATGATATTAGAAATGGCTGCTTTGTCCCGATTAACGGGTGAACCAATTTTCGAGGTAAACTATTCAGTAAAATATGCAGTGAGTGCAGTGATTAATATCAATCAACAATCTAGGAAAAAGCGCAGAAAGCCATGGATGTTTTGTGGCGAATGAGACATCGTGGTACAGACTTGATGGGATCCGTGCTGAACGTAAACTCTGGCGACTGGGTACGAAGAGATTCCGGTGTCGGCGCTGGAATAGACTCTTATTATGAATATTGCCTCAAGGCATATATTTTACTCGGTGATTATTTATATGTTTTTTATTTATATGTTTCCGGCGATATGTACATAACCATATTTTGTATTGACGCAGGCGATGAAAAATACTTGGGGCGTTTTAACAAGCACTATCAAGCTGTAATGAAATACGTCAGTCAAGGACCTATGCTACTGGATGTGCATATGCATAGACCGAACACTAACTCGAAAAATTTCATGGACGCTTTGTTGGCCTTTTGGCCAGGTCTGCAGGTATATTACAAGTTTTCCTTTTAATTAACGAAAAGAAATTTTACTAATCTGTTATTGCGTTTTTTATAGGTCCTGAAAGGCGACATCAAACCTGCTGTGGAGACACATGAAATGCTGTATCAAGTTATGCAGAGACACAATTTTATACCAGAAGCGTTCACCACTGATTTTCAGGTATAAATTATTTACACATAACTGGTAATTATAAAATAGCTATATCGCACATTCACACATGTTAGACGTAATATTAATAATATTGATGAAATAGGTGCATTGGGGACACCATCCACTGAGACCGGAATTTCTAGAATCGACGTACTTCCTGTATCGAGCCACAGGCGATCATTATTATTTAGGAGTTGGACGTAAGGTTCTCAAAAGTCTGCAAACGTATGCAAGAGTGCCGTGTGGTTACGCAGCCGTGTCAGATGTTAGAACAAACAAACACGATGATACGATGGATAGCTTTGTACTGTCCGAGACATTTAAATACTTATTTTTATTATTTACGGAACCAGGAGAATTGGTTTTAGACTTGGACGAATTTATTTTTACCACTGAGGGTCATTTACTGCCACTCACGCTTGCTTCTATAAGGACGAATGTTTCATCTGTAAGTGTACCACAGCATACAATTGATAAGGAATGATTAGACATTGTCGAATTGTATTTTACACTTTTAATCCAAGCAGGATTTCGAACGCATGGATATCGTGCACGTAGACGAATTTGACCGTACTTGCCCGAACAGTTTGCACTTATTTCCCGCATCAGTGAGACAACCTTTGAGGAATATGGTCGAAGACGTGTGCCCAAGGCGATCGATTAAACGAAGATTAAGTGCATCACAGTTTCAGGTACGTTTAAATCATACTCGCGTATTCTGATTTGCAAAGATATTTACCTAAAGATCTAATTTTTTTTTGCAGGCGAATAACTTGGAACATCTGAAAATGTTGAGTGATATGGGAATAACAACTCTAACACTAGCAGATGGGCGGGTTCAGCTTTTACACACATTTTCTAATGTAACTTACTTGTTACATAAAACATCGTAAATTTTATTCAATATTTCTTTATTATTTACCGCGTAATACGAGGCATAATATGTCGTTTGTTCGAACAGGCGAAAACACCGCAGGATTCGGAGGAAGGATTACTGTTCATGCAGGAAATGGTCGAACTGAGTAAAATGCAAACCCAACAGCCGGAAACTAAACCGCAAACCGTGACGTTTGTAAGACCTAACACGGACCCACCGGAAAAAGTTATGCTGTTAGCAGGACCGGCGCAGTTCGGTCCTGAGTTACAGAGCTTCTATAAAATTATCGGGAAGGTGATATTCACATATCCACCCGCAGCTTGCACAGATCTGCTCAACGCGGACAAATTGGCGGGCAAAATAGTGATCATGGATCGTGGAAATTGCATGTTTATAGAAAAGGTATATTTATTACGTCTTTGCACGAGAAATTTTCTTTTGTGCCAGCTTTTAGTACCTTGTCTTTATATTCTCATGTGAAACACTAGGCCCGAAGAATTCAACGAGCCGGTGCGCTTGCCGGAATAGTGTTGGATAACGTTGCGGGTTCAAGCGCGGCGACTTCGCCCATGTTCGCAATGTCTGGCGACGGAAAGGAGGTGGATGACGTCACGATACCCGTCGTGTTCCTCTTCTTCACAGAGGCAGCGGAGTTGATGAGAGCTATTAATGCAGCGGATGGTGATCTTACTGTTACACTTGGTAAGAATTGTAGGATATCAAGCATTCTTATATTAATAATTTGTTTCCTTTTTTTTGAAAATTTGAAGATTTGGACATCCTGGATAATGTTAATTATATAATACAACATCTATGTGCTGTTTATTAATATATTTGCTACCTATAATAGGAACGTATTCAAAAGAAGAAGTTCAGCTGAAGGCGCCTACCGACTTATCGCTGTTCGAACGTCTGAAAGGATCGTTGAAATCATTTCTGTTCAGCCGACACATGACTTCGCAGGTTTGAACTTTTTCATGAAAATTAGATTTCTTTTTTCGATATTTTATACGGTACTTAAAAAATTCTGTATATGTATGTAGGCAACAGCTGTCGGATCGAGTTTGGACATCACGATTCCTATAATTGAATCGCTGGAGGACGAAGCCGACACAATCGCTTCTCATTACTTCCGTGCAGAAATCATCAAAGATTCGCTCGGCGGTGAAGTAAGGATCACTGCTGCATCCGAAGATGCGATTATCATCTTGAGACCAGTTTCTACACCGGTGGAGATCTTGTGGCATCAACTGAAGGAAGTGTTCGTCAATCAGATATTTATCAACAGTAAACAAAACAAAGGTATAAGAATCAGAAGTTTTATTTTGGAGAGCTATTACAATTGGGTGAACAAGGCGCGTGGCGTGCTTACCAAAACATCACTGTCCGAGAAAGTTCGGTGGTTCTTAAACGAACTGCTGGTTGCACCAAACGCGTCCATTAGAAAGATGGGACAGCTAGCAGAATCAAACAAGCAGAAGCTATTGAAACAATATCTACTCACAAATATGGATACTATGGTACTGAATTTGAAAACTGTAGCCACAAAGTTGAAGAATATGAAATCGGTGAGACCGGAGATGGAGCAATTGCTGAAAATCTCGGAATCTGGCATCGCGCAGGTTGAGAATTATTCATTTCTACGACACTTATTGACCGATTTGTTTGACGAAGAAGACGAGGTTATCAATCAACACGTTGCGCTATTGGATCGTATTCATGCCGAAGTGCACACCACATATCAAGGAATATTAATTGACGGCGTACAAAGGCACCTGGAGAAATCGGGAGAGGAAGATAGCTCGTATTACGATATATTGATTACCGATTTGCAGAAGAACCTGAAAAATATAGATAAAGGAGAAAATTTACTTGGAAAAACTAAGGAGAACGATTTGGCAGTCGCAGAATTTATAAGCGACAGTAATGGAGGTAAATTAGAATTCGAAGCTAAAAACATCAAAATCTTGAAGAAGGACAAGGAATCGCGCAATGAAAAAATCGAGGATTTCGAATATTTTATACTCACGGAAATAGAGAAAGCTGTAAAGTATTCCGAGCAAAATATTTTACGGAAGTATGATCAAAGGGATGCCACGAAAAATGCTGTGACAGAAGACAAGAAAGATAAGAACTCCGTCAAATCCAACGATATTATTCTGCACTCCTCTCAAAATCAGAGCGATGGCGAAGATAGAAAGAATAAAATACAAAGCTCTCTTCAGGATGAGATAGATTTTATGCGACCAACAAAAGCAGCGAAAGCGAAACTCGAGGAAACGACCGTCAAAGACAAGGAAGATAAGTCTTCTGTAAACTCTGCATCGGATGACATTAAAAAGTTTCATGTTTCTAATATGCCTGTAACTATGGATATCTCCAATGTAAGAACAACTACTCCCAACAAAAGACGAACTTTATCGCAGCGTAGTGACAATGACGTCAGTGATACACAACATAATCGTGAAACTAATTTAAGAGCTAAATCATCTGATCAGAAAGATTCAGGTCAAAGTAAAATTATACCGACTGATCTACTGGAAGACTTTCAAAAGCCTGTATGGGTTGCCAATGAGGAGAGAGACTTCGCGGTATTTCAGAAAAACTCACAGATCTCAGACACGCAGCATGGTACGAGAAAGCCAAGTGATGTGAAGTATAAGAAGAAATATGTGAAAGACACAGATCAGGAAGCCAAATCAAAATCACATACAGCTAAACATATCGACGATGAATTATAACAATAGCTTTTCAGATTTAGGCTAAATTATAATTATTACGCGGAGACCGAGAAATCAATTTTCAACAGCCGTAAGGCTATTGCAACTGATATTTTTGCACTAGAATTCGGCTGTGTGCGTGCAGTGAACTTTAATTGATCTGTATACACACAATGTTCTAGCAAAATACTCGATAAAAAATAAATCGTCCGACTATGTCGTAATTCTATGGAGATTCTATGAATTCTAAACTGGTGCTTACGAGAAAAATCTATTTCAATTTGTTACTTGAAGGAAGCCGGTGATATTGTAGAATGTATAATATGTATTATGAACGTAACCGGTGTGACTCATATGTGTTAAAGTGGTTGTGAAGTTGTATTCTGAAACAGGGCGCTAACTGATGTATATTTCGTGTATTATAGTATATCCTTATATACACACACCCCTAAAAGTATGATAGTGGCAAATATTCTTTCTTCCATGAAAGCAAATTCATGTCCTGATAAATCTACAATTTGTATTATATAATTGTATAATATGACTGTAAATCTCTTTAAGAAAAGAGGATAGCATTAATATTCCGTGATATAAGAGTATGGTGGTAGCATCATGAGTTGGAATAGACGCATTAATTTTGCTTTGACATTTTGTACTATTTTACTCCAAAGATGTGCCATGATTAACGATAATATGTTCACTCTATACTGCAGTTTACAATAATGTTTAATATAAAAATAAACATGCTCAAATCAGTTTTCAATTTGTTCCAAGGACTTTAAATGTTAATCTTTTTCGCTCGTATTAATGTAATGTCAGAAATTGATTTACAAAACGGTATTTCATCAGAAATTGTGCGATACTGAACTTTACGCCAGTAACATATTATCCTAAGCTATTAATTAAATATTTATAATTTATACACAATTCTAATATTCTTAATTTAATATAAAAATATTTAAATTGTATTTAAAAAGAAATTTGCTACTTAATGATAAACGATATGTCGAATATAATATAGCAACTTAAAAAGAATTTTTGTTGGCTGCAAATAAGTTAAAGTATGCCTTAAATGTACATAGGATGTACAGAGAGATATGTGTCAGTGTATATAATGTATAAGAAGCACTGTGTTATATAAAGTAAAATTTTATTATGGTGTTATAAATATTTGAGATAAGTTTGGCCTTTTGATAACTTTCCGCTTTATACCTTTTTTTACTTGTAAATTTGTACACCGATATTATACCTGAATATATTCTATGAAGTACAGCATTAGTGTCTTATAATAGAATATAAGAATTCAATCTTTTTAATGACAATGTTACATAATGTGCACAATGCATATAAATGTTCATAGTTATACTGATTTCAATATCACACATGATTAGCTTGAGTATATTATTCTTGTATATGTTACATATTTTAATTGTAAATATAAATACTATATACACATGTAAGTATACAGTAAGTCTTCACTATTTGATGTTAAGTAACAATTTGCTGATGGATGCCAAATTTAGTATTATCAAGATCTGCTGTATTGATTATACCTTTCTGTTGTTTCCTGATTGTGCATATAAATATCGCCTAAATTTATGCGCAAGTGATTTTTTGAGAGATACTTGTTGAAATAAAAAAGATTAAAAAAACATCTGAAGTGGTTAATATTTAGGAAGCAATTACCAAATTTTGTCATAAAAGTACAAATAATTTCATAATTTAATAGTTGCAAGTCGTTTATGATAAATAATATAATAAATATAAGCACTTCAATAATTTTTACGCGAATTACTGAATAATGATAACATGATAAAAGAAATGCTGAGATATTTCGCTAGGTAGCAGAAGTAATTGTAAATTTTTAAATTGCATTTGAAAAATTTACGCTGATTTTAATCTAATATTTGCCTAATGTCACGATTCTAAGTTTAAAGATTTAAATTCTTAACTTTAATTTTGTTTATTAATTGTAAATATCTCGTATATTTCTTATCAAGACATGTTCTAATATTATGTCAGCTTATCGGAACTTGAAACTCGATTCCTTTACTACATGCCAGCAACCAGCAGTTCGTAAACATAGTTCACGCTCCAAAGGCGTTACGTTTTTTATTTTATTTAAAACTTCAAACTTATTGTCATATATAAATTTCAAATTTATTATCGATATTTTTATGAAAAAGTTGATTTGAAAACAATTGAAGAATCTACAATTGAAACTTGCAGGTATGATTGATTTATAACATCTTGTAGATAGTACGAAACGTTGGTTGCATCGGTTGCATTTTTTTTATAACCTCTATTCTACAGGGTGAATCAACAAGAACGACACATAAATCGTTGTTACATATAGATGAAAATGGACGAATATAATTGCTCGTCAAATCGAAGTGTGTAGTAAAAAAAACGCTCGAACAGACGATTGCGTATTCCAAGCTCCAAAAACAGCACATCGCTCACGCTTTGCACTTACGACAACCTGTCAGTCGTACTCAGCGTACTGGCATTGCATCAATGTGACGGAGCTATTTTGATTTCGAATTTCGGACGACCCTGATGTACGCTATCGGGCATTTGCGTCACATTACGATTTCGCGCTGTTATTTCTACGATACACATCGAAATTTTTGTGACAGAAGGAATTGATCACGAAGGTAAGAGATTTATATCAAATATGTGATGAAACACAATCGATGCTTCTACCATGTGTTACTAACCACCAAAGAATGTGATATTTATTAAAATTTATTAAAATCAGCATTCCTATTTAAGAATGTTTATTGAATATAGATGTGCAGAGTCAATTATTATGTCACTATATATATTGCTTTGATATTTTGTTAATGTTATTAATACAATTGTAAAATAGATTGTTACATTGCAAAGTAGGTTATTAATATTTATTACTTCTGTCTGCAAAAATCAGATTTTATATTGCGTGTAGACTTATAAGAATAGCAATAATATCTTAAACATTAACGATGCTTATTTTCTTTCAATCTTTTTATTTTGTTATATATCTTACAAAGTGATTATTTTGTTTTACAGATGGGTGATATCAAATATTACGGAAAGAAGAGAAGTATTGTGAGAAGGATCGGATCCTTTTTACCATTGAAACCACCACCAAAAATATATGTCAGCGTGACACCATTACACTCAATGACAAGCTCAATGATTAATGAAGAAGCTAGTAGCAATTATGATACAAATGGATATGGTCCTATGAGGTTTGTAATCTACTCCGTTAAATTGTAATTATATGTGCATTCATTCTATGATATTGTGAAATATAAAATTGCATTTGATAACAGACTTTCCGGTAGCAGACCAGATCTGTTAGAGCCAATTAGTTTTGGATCTGAAGTACGATTGCTTGCATTAGAGCAAGAGTTACAAGAACTTAGGGAACAAATTTCAACAATTGTGAAAAATAACAAATTGTCAAAGCGTATGTATAAACATATATATTTTATTATATTTCAAAATTATCAAGAGAATCTGCAAGAAGTTTTTACTGATTTATTTTTATTTTTTTATAGATGCTTCTGTCGCATCTCTGCCTAATATAATGGACAATGGAAAGTCTTTGCCAGTACCGCCACCTCCACCTCCACTTCCACCACCCACAACGCCGCATATTGCGAGAAGGGCTAGCTTGCAAGAACATAAAACTGAAGATCGCAAGAAAATTGCATTGAGTTCACAGAAATCGACAGGCGATATGCTTAAGGATATCGACAGTGTAAAATTGAGGCCAGTTGCAAGGTAATTTAAGACTATTGATTACTTTAACACACTCAAGTCCATATTCAATTTAATTCCTAGAATACTCTCTCACATTTATTGTAAATATTAAGATTCCTGCGTATTGAATTAAAGTAGAAAATTATATAAATTTTGTAAAGCTCTTTAAAGTCCTTAATTAGTAAACAAATGTATAATTAAATCTTTATATGATTTTTATGGAATAAAATAAAACGATGTCGTATCTTTTACAGATCGCCAGGTGGACATCCTATACGAGTAAAGCGTGAGAATAGCCCATGTAACGATTTGCAGGAGATTCTGCGAAGACGTTACATTGCGATGCAGTCTCCCGACAGCAGAAACTCATCGGCTAACTTGACTATAGACGATTCGTTTTGAACATCATGTGTGAAAATGTGGATACTCTTGAGTGTCCCTATCCTGTGTGTACGTTTACACAAAATTTAGGACTCTTACAAGCAAGCGTTGTGGCATATAACACATATGTTACGTTGGAATTTATCAGTTGCACTTCGCATTAGCTGAAGACGTAAAGAAAGTCTTAAACCAAAGATCAGTTTATTGCACCGATGTGACGTCACTCAGGTAGAATTTTTTTTTTCATAGCAAAAAAGTCATGATCAAAGCTTTTCCTAATGCGTTTAAAGAAGGCCATTTTAGTTTTATTACGATTAAGATGATTATTCTAGTTTTAGTAGGTAAAGCTGTTGTGATATTGAAATCACTCTCTCAACAGCTATTCCTGCAAAATCCAGCCATAATAACTCTAATGTCCGGGATAGATAGATAGATGTTATTTTTGTGGCAGTTCATGAGAAGATAGAGTACACCATTCCTCTTGCTATTTATATGTTGCCAACATAAATGGGAAATTTTAGTTAGTGCGTAAATAAGAAAAATAGATTTGAATGATTCATATCGAAATCAATATTAGCATTATTAATGTTACGATCATTTATAGTTTTATTTAATTATACAAGTAATTTTGTAGATACTGGAAAAGTAATCTCAAATTTCTTTTTTTTGTCTAAATAACTATAAATTTTTTAGTTTTAAATTATTTTCGAATGTGGGCATGTGTAAGAAGATTCAGTAGTGGAATCTTCAATTTTAAACGCGTAGGAATGTACGCAACTCATTTTCGGAGACTGAACGGTATCTTCGATGATATTACGAATGTACAGATGCGTTTTTTATACGTGAAGCTTTTATCGATGACTTATAAAAATAAACTTTATTGTTAAATAATATTTCATCATGTTAATCCTTTACATAACTTTTCGCAAAATTTAACTTTTAATCGAAACGGTTATTTTGCCTTTTTTAACTCTATTTTATCTTTATTTTATTTTCTTAAAAAAAAATGATTAAGGCACATTCAAATAAATTTGCATAATTGCATAAAAAAATCGACCAATCGTGTAAGCAATTTAAATTTACAAACTCGAGAATCTCTACAGTCTACGGTTTCGCTTCTATGTAATTTTTCCTTCTCATGGGTTTAATCACAATCGGAGTCGTGTCCCTCGCGTACTCGTCGCGTTCATCGTCGTGCCGTGTGCGTGTCAACATTGTTATTCAAGATGGCAAGCACGGTGAATGAGATCGCGGCTCAGGCAAGCGAGAATCTAACGGAGTATCAGAATACGACGACGGCGAGGGTGCCGTCGACGCCCGAGGGAATGGCAATTGCGTACGGCAGCCTCATTATTATGGCAATCCTGCCGATTTTTTTCGGCAGTTACCGCGCTGTCAAGCACCATAAGGAGCAGCAGGTTAGCCACGCGTTTTTGACATATGTTTGACACATGCGTTTCCTGCGGAATTTCGCTGTTTCGCTCCGGATTTATCACAAGAATTTACGGCAAATCTGCAAACAACTGGCTTAACCCTTGATGAATTATTTCGTAATGATTTGTTAAGTTTGATGATCAGATGAAACGGCAATTGAACAAGAGTGCACAATTGTGCAAATAATATAATATGACATTTGTCTGTACATTATGAGTGTCGATATATTTTTTCTATTTTTTGTACTTATGATATCACAACATGTCTGTTTTATAGCAACAATATAAGGCGAGCGGTGAACAACCCGATACCATGTCACGCAAAGAAGCTGCTATGTTTCCTATTATCTCCAGTGTTACTTTAGTTGGCTTGTACATATTGTATAAGGTAACTGGATTTTTCTGCAGATAATTATGTTTTATAATTGCAAAATGCTACTTAAAATGATTTCCGGTAGGTGTTTGCAAAGGAATATGTCAACTTGATATTGGCTGCATATTTCTTCTTCCTTGGCATTCTAGCTTTGTGTCATCTCACGAGGTAAATTGAGCTTTTATGTAATTATAAATAAATTACTCCGAGTAGAGTGATTTATAAATTGGAAGTTTTTCTTAACTATTGAATCATATTTTATAATTAAAATAATATGGATAAATATTTTAGTCCACTGATCTCATCACTGGTACCTGCTGCCATTCCAAAGACACAGTATCACATTCTATTCACAAGGGGAAAGGATGATAAAGAGGAGCACATAATTAATTACAAGTTTAATCTACACGACATTGTCTGTCTCATATGTTGCTCATTTGTTGGTGCTTGGTACCTTTTGAAGAAGGTAAAATATTATTTAACATCTAATTCGACATACTACTTATTGATTAGAGATATATTCCTGTTTTCAAACAACTTTGTTTTAACAATTGGCTTTTATCAAAAACAAATAGAATTAAATATTTGAAAGACATATTTTTTTTCTTATTGCAGTATTCCATGTCGAACTAAACAACTTTTCAATAAAACAGTATTTGCACGAGCAATTTGTTGATAAAATATTGAATTTTAGTTCATGCCTTTATTATATTTTTATTTTTTCTATTTTTTCAGCACTGGATAGCTAACAATCTATTCGGCATTGCGTTTGCTATTAATGGAGTCGAATTGTTACATCTTAACAATGTCGTGACCGGATGCATTTTACTCTGCGGTCTCTTGTTCTACGACGCTTTCTGGGTGTTTGGTACAGACGTGATGGTGACAGTCGCAAAATCCTTCGAAGTGCCTATCAAGCTCGTCTTTCCCCAGGATCTTTTAGAGAAGGGTTTGAGCGCCGGTAATTTCGCCATGCTGGGATTGGGTGACATCGTGTTGCCTGGTATCTTTATCGCGTTGCTGCTGCGATTTGATAACAGCCTGAGCAGGAAGACGAATGTTTATTTCTATTCGACGTTTTTCGCGTACTTCATGGGATTGCTTGCCACTATGATGATCATGCACCTATTTAACCACGCACAACCTGCTCTACTATATTTAGTGCCTGCCTGTGTAGGCACGCCGCTACTCTTAGCATTAGTTAAGGGAGACCTCAAGGCGCTCTTCTCGTAAGTATTTTTCAATGCTATATAATACAAATTTATGAATCACATCTGTGTTTCTTATGCCTACATTTTCTACTTTTTCTTCAGGTATGAAGATCATCCGCAACCTGCGAAAACGGCGCAACAATCAGAACAGGCGCAAGTAGAAGTGAAAAAAGATAAATAATATTCCAATTTAACGCGAAGAACACGATGAGGAATTACATCTTTGTCATGTTGTAATTCCCTCGAAATTATCGTGCGCGTATAAAAAAAAAGAAAAGGATAATAATTCGTGGTTCATGCTCAAGACGTACAATCACGCATTGTAAATTCAATAGCTTGTAACTGTGTCTTGCATGCACATGAATTGCGAAAATATCTGATAATGCAAACCACAATAGTTAACGTTTACAGATATTATTTTCATCTCAAAATTGTTTCATTTGCATGCAACATCGATACTAAGTTTTTATCACTCATGTATGGTTTCAATGGACAATATTTTAAGATGAACTGAACGGTGAAGTACTGCCACCCGGGAGATGCCAAATGGCAATGCAAAGATTCATTGTTTTGCAGCGTAGAGCAGAATGAAAATACTTCCAACTGTTGATTTATATTCCGTATATAATATATATGTACTACGTCTACCTGAGTTTTGCTGTACGTTGCAGTGTTCTACATTTTAAAAACTATTTGAGAATAAGTTCCAGTTCTAGTTACATATAAGTTTTTACCGATATTCCAGGATTTTTGATGACTTTACCACCATGTGTGAGTGATAATCATGAATTATACACATAAAAATGGTTTCACTATCTTGTGACGTATTAGACAAACATAAGCATAAGAGAAGTTATTTCCTATTTAAAATTATAATAGAGAATATTAAGCATATATAGTATACTCTACAAATATTCAAATCTTTATTTATTTGCAAAAAGTGCATAAATATCTATAATTACAATGAACAGGAATTTCTATTTGCAAATGTGATGTATATATAGATTAAAATGTTCTGTTAAACTTGATAAAACTTTTTAAGTTGTTGAAATTAAAAGGAAATTGTAACTTCGATGAATAAAAAATTTAGTACTTACAATTTATTTATACAAGGTTGATTTAAATAAAAACCACAAATAAATTTTTCATACCTGTATATTAGATAGAAGTGTAATGTGTTTATTTTTTAATATAATTGCTCCCGAAGTTAATGTATTTACGCCAACAATGCACAAAAGTATAAGTATCCTGTGGAAAAATCTTGCTTTAGTATAATAACGCACGATTATCCTCGCTTATAGAACGATCACAGCAATCCACAATCTTCGAATTGAATGTCTTCCATATATAACTTATTCTTTCGATCTGACATCTTCGAATTTTCACATTTTTGGAGTTTCTCAAAGAGCATTTTGATAGCATAAACTTTCGAGACAACGAAGACACGATGAAATCAAAAAGGCGGTACATGATTGATTGCTCATACGTCCAAAAGACTTTCACAGAGACTCATTCACATTTTATTAGTGCACTGTTGCAAATGTATTGACTAATAATTGTGTTAAAAAATAAATATATGTATTTGTATCTATATCTAATATACAATTATTAAAAATTTGCGATTTTTATTGGAATCTTCCTTGTAATTGAAGATTACTTATAAATAATATCAATATTTGTGATATTATGTATTCTCAATACTATATAGACTTATTTCGCCAAATTTTCTCATTATATAAAAATTCTTTCTATTACTATCTTCTTAAAAGTAAAAAATAAATTGTTCTTAATCCTATTCACACATCTAGTAAGATATAATTCATGATTAATTTTTGATAATATATAATTACATAATCTCATTGTACATTAAATATATATGAAGTATATGGAATTACACAAATGTATGAAAGTACATGAAAGTATATGTATGTAAAAAAGATTATTAAAATATTCCAATTTGTTTTCACAATGGACAAAGAAAATAAGCGATTACAGTTATTGATTTTATCATCAAATTTATTTAGATATTTTATTCTTACAATGGAAATGTTTTTCTAACAAATAAAAAGATATAAAGTGTATAATTTATTATGCTTGGGCAGCACTTTCCACAGCCAAGTTTTGAGACGTGATTGGCTGCATATTTGTAATTCCATCCTTGGATATTTTTTGAACTTTGAAATTTGGTAAATTAACGATTAAACGTTTCTGAATTTCTCGAACACACTTCTTTAATAATGAATATGCTTCTTCTTCGGTACAATCTGCAAAGAACATTTATCATCATTGATATCTTCTAATGAATATTATTTGTATCTCTCTATGATTTTTTTGCAGGTATCTTACCATATTTGTGATATCTATCTAAGACAGACATAGAAAACATTCCACCATATCCATGAGTTGCGTAAGGAACTTTCACACATGATGCCAAGTAATCAATAAAGTATAATTCTGGCCCAGTATCATCGTCGTATCCAGCCATCAGCATATTAACAAAATACGGAGTTCTACTTCTAAGATGATCAGCCAGATTTCTCCTTGTAAAGCAAGCTGCAGCCTTGGGAGATAGCTCATAGCCATTTCTCATCTTGTACAGCTGGATATTCTTGCCAATGTACTCGGAAAATTGTGTTGTGTCACCCGATTCTCCAGATATTGCCATGACAAGCTTATCAGAGATCTTATGAATCTTGTGTTCATCTAAAATATTTTATGTACCATTTAAAATTCATTTGTACAATTTACAATTAGATTATTATTATTAAAATGTTAAGAATTATTTAGGACAAAACAATACGGATTAATATGGAAATCATCAAGATAATGCATTGTTACACTATTATTTGTAGCAATATATATATATATATTATGATAACATTTGAAATAACATAATTATTGTAATATTACGTTATTATTAATGATTCTAACAATACTGTGTTAACATTTTATGTTAATATGTGACAATGCTGGTGCTCTGACAATCGGATACATAAAAATGATATACAAAATTCATACCGTTTTTCATAACTATAATGGACTGTGTGGTTGTCATATCCGCTGCAACCAGCACAAAATCTTTACATTGAATTCCGATCAAACACTCCATTGCTACAACTCGTTTTCGTTTCTGTCGTTACGGTGCAACCAGCAAATACTGCAAAAATGCCTGTCACGAAAACGGTAAGTTAACCTCACAACAGTCGGATTGGCTATAAAGTCTATAAGATGATTTGCGTTTATAACATTTGTTATGTTGCCACTTTTTTAATTCGCTAGAAGATTTTGTCTAGAGTCTCTTTCATGTTGCCGCTCTTTTCTAACTAGCTAGAAAATCTTGCTACGCTTGCGCAGAGTGCTTGCGTACATCATGCAATTCTCGATCATTGTGTATGAGCCCGGTCTGCAGTCTAGCAGCAATAATTACGGATTTTCGAGAATCTCTCATAATATGAAGATAAAATATTAATTCATCGAAACTAATTGCAATTTTCTGTAGGATTTTGGAATAGGTAAATTATAGGTTGAATGTAAAATCACTGAATTATGTTCTTCCGTCTTTTGCTCATATTATGAGCTCTTGAAATAAAAAATGGCATCCATCTTAAAATTTATCTTTTTGTAAAGATTTATCGAAACTTTTATATAAATTTTACGATACTTTTATATAAATCTTTGATTGTTATGTTTTTCGAGATTTTTAGTACTTTTACAACGGGATGAAGCTGAGAGAAGGTGGCGGTTATGAAACCCTGAGCAAGGCCACGGTTTTTCATCGCCCACGGCGGTTTTGTTACATACCGGAGCACGTCGTGGTCGATCACCGACAGCCGTGTCGCATGCATAGACTTACGAATGTAAATCCGCCCGCCACGTGTCGATCCCGCTACATAGTCCAAGTTTTCTGTGTCAAATAGCTGTAGTGGCTACTCCTTGCCTGCTGCTCCTCGCAGAGGCACACGGGAACGCCTGTGGAAAATTGTTATTCATACGTAGACCTTTATGACCTCCAATCACTTCCGCGAAAGGTGTTGATTAATGCTTCAAATCCATAATATAAAAAGACAGCAAACGTTAAAATAAACAAATAATTTAAATGGAGAATGCAATTAGAATAATTAAAAATTAAACAGAGATTATACAAAAATTGATTCTAAAATTCTTGAATGTTTATTTATTTGCAGATTAGTTGGTAAATGTGGAATTCGTTTTCTCGAGAATGTCGCTAGACGCTGAGAGTTTCTAAGTAATTAACGAGTGAAAGGATTTTTTGCGCATGGAAGTAAGTAGCAGAACGACGATTCTTCAATTGACCTCAGCAGTGGATCTTGCTTTAATAGGATTTTAAGTTATGAAGATATATAATACAAAGGATTGGAGAGAATTATGTTAATACATGATGTTTCTATGCCGTCAATTTTCTGGACTTTTCCCGAACGATGCGCCCAATGACACATTGCGTGACGCATTCAGCCGCAGAAATGGATACATTTTCGGAAAGTAATGCTTAGCCTACAAAACTCGCCTAAATGAGGATAGCCCGCCGCACGTAAACAGAGCGTGTTGGCGACCTATTACTAGAAAACACGCTTCTATATTGCTTTTATCCATAATGCATTCGTCGTGCATAATAACGCGAATCACGCGTTCGCTCGTTAACGTTAATCAGCGTTTCGGCGCCGGTCATCGTAGCGCGATTTACGCATAATTCATTTCGATAGCGATAAACAATGCCGAGCTAATTTATCTCAGTCACCGTCTAGGCATAATTTATTCCAATGCTGGCGAAATCGATTTTATAAATGGAATAATAAATGTACGCGTGAAAAGGAACCGAAACAAAGTAATGCATAAACTGGATGTTCAATCTATAAATATCGCGAGGAATTCACCGCGGTCAGGACTCGGGGAATCTAGGCGAGCCTCGCGCGATCTCGTTGTTGCTCCGGATCGTCGCATCGATGCAACCGATCGGGCTCGGTAACGCGAAACTTCCTTCGCGTATCCGCGAAGGTCGTCCGCTGATTCCGTTACGCTCGGATCCATTCGCGAACTCGTAATACGTTCACTGAACTTCCCAGCGATGAACCATGCCAGCGAGTGCAGAGGGAGGTGTTCCGCGATCGGATCGCCGACGGGTCGATTCGAGGCGCGATTAGCGAGATCCTCCTAATAAGAAGAACTGACGCAGCATCCCGCTACTGAAACAGTTATGATGGATTACTGGCGCCTTTTTTTATTCGCCATCAGCACGCCACCAATTTACATTTAGATTGAATCGCGAATTCTTGATACGAATGTTAACGACGATAATATGCGAATATGGATGAATGCGTGAAAGCAAACGGAATTGGAAGAGGGAGGAGATTGCAATTTAAAAACGGGATCATTCTTTCGTTTATCGCATGACTAATTGTTTATTCGTGTCAACAAAATTTAAATAAGTAAATCGAGTTTAACACAGTTTGTTTTTTCAGATACACAAGTTGCGAAAGAGCGATGAATCATTGAAAATGAACGATGATCATTATCGACTTTTTTGCCAAAGAAGCTATGAAAAGGATGAAAAGGATATCCTGTGACACTTTTCGTGATTCTCTTTGAGACACTTGATGGACAGAGGAAAAAATGTAATTATTTAAAATTATTTAAAATTATTTAAAATTATTTAAAATTTGTTTCAATTCATATAAAACACTAATGTTTTTAATGTTTAATTATTTTTATAAACCATTGAGTTGCAAGTCAATAAGAACAGAATTATCGGCGTGTATATCTTTTGATTAAGCAACAGTCATTAATCAATTCACAAATTCGAATGTTGACCCATTATTGAGTTCTCTCCAAGTTTCTTGTGTTGTTTCTTGCACGCCTTCCACTGTAGCTGAGAGCTTGAACTATTCTCATGAAGAAGATTGATACTGGAGACTTTAATTCGATAACGGACCGAAGTTTTTGATTTTATGAGTCGATTCATAATAATGACTGCCGTTTAATCGAAAAGGTTACATATGAATAATCGTATTCAACTGTTGGTAGCATGTTTAATAATTTATTGATTCATAATTAAATTATCTTTTTCAGGACTTCCAAATTTAGATGATGATGAGCGAAATATGAACATAGCGTATAATATAAGGATTCCAACATATAATGTAAGAAATTTTAAGATTCTGTATGTGCGACAATATTACACATGATATGAGCTGCTGGGTGTAACGATATTTCAGTGACACTGTTACGAAGAAAGGATGACAAATAAAACATGTCAGAAGCGCAGCGTGAAAACAGAGCAATTTTGGTGCATTGAAAAGTTGTGAATATCGCCTCTTCTTAAACCGCAAAGTGACTACGAAAAATGCTCCTCACTTAAAAGTAGACCTCTCGGAATCCTCACCGATATCGGTCCGGCGCGATTGGATAGTTCCATTGAAAATGGTAGCAAAGATGTGTGGTCATTGGCCGTACGGTTTACCCCCACGTGTACTCGCAGGCTATATAGAAGACCCCGCGAGGAATTTCATCTTCAGAACTGAGAATCAGTGTCACGGAAGTCTACCGGAAAGTAACGAAGTGAGTAATAGTTTTTCATAACTTTTGAACTCAAGTTGATCAATTGGGAGAGATTAATTGCTTGCATTTTCAAATATCATTTCCCGTTCAGATCAAGTTTAATTAAAATCACTTTAATTTGTAAACTTGCATAACTTTTAAAAATGTTTGAATATGATAAAATATATCATGATACTCAAATCATAAAGTTACAAGCGTATCTGTTTTGCATATGTATTAATGTTTATTTAACAAAAAATTGTATGCAATTTTGAAATTTTGAAGCCATTAAGATCTTGTTGCATTTTTTATTATTACATATATTATTATTTAAAGTGTGTCCTATATCATTTCTTATCAAATTTTTTGTGTTATTTCTTTCAATTCTCTTTTTCAAAAAAAGTGAAACTTTTTCAATCAATGCTAATTTATAAGTTTCAATGTTTGTATCTTTTATATTGTTATAACATACAAAATCTGATTGTATGATTTTATTTTTGAGTTACTTGTACACATTTATTATATTCAAATCAAATTTTGTTCCACTGAAAAATTGATTTCTAAAATTATTTTTTCTGCTTTTTCTCTATAACTTTTCTCTATAACTTTTCTCAATAACTTTTCCAACTTTGGTTTCTCTATTTGAACATCTTGATCTGAACTAATAGTCACATAAGAAGTCAGGTAAATTTAGTTTTTATGGAACGTTTTACACGCACGATTTATCATAGATGTTATATATCGTCAGATGTGAAGATACTGTTAGAGACTAGATTTTTCCACCCTGATATGTACCGTTCTCCAAAGGCGCGCCGCGCGTCATTTGTCGCCGGTGAGAGGCTCTCTCGATGCTTTCGCGACAGTCATCTCGTTATCAGCGCTTATTATCGACCGATCTTAATGTTATTCAATTGCGATTGCATCATTCAGTATAATGAGAATCAGATTTGCACTCTGTTTTACTCAAAAATTCACGAGGAGCAAGTAATTTTCAAAAATTTAAGACTTTCAATTTTGAAATCAGTACTTTAAGTAGAGACAAGTTTTTGCAAAATATAATTATATTTAAATTTTTGTAATTGAATTCTACAAAGAGTAAAAAGTATGATGGAAGCTGCATTAAAGAGATGATCTCAGTGGACTTGCAGTTTCCTTGAATTTTTATCTCCTTTTTCGAACTGAATATTAAAAGTAAAAATAGTCTCGAATGTAACAAAAATCTACGAAGTATGAAATAATAACAATAATATGATATAAAAAGTAATAAGAAAGTCTATTCACAGGTATAAAATGTGGAGTTCCAACAAAATATGAAATTTATAGATCCATAGCGATATCTCAGCCGCGTTGTTAAAGGCAAAGAGATCTCGAGCACAACCTTCGAGAATGTTCATAGCACAATCGCTTTATCGATATTCTATCTACCTTGATCTTCTCGATCTGCATTGCACCGGGTTGCTTTCCTCCGTTACTTTCCTCCGTCTATTTTTTTCGACGGCAGTCGCCGGCGACGAACGACAGTAGGTCATGACCGCCTTTTAGAGTAACGGTACCTGTTGAGTTCAACAAACCGGCATCGCCGCGAAGTGGGCTAACGAGCGATTGGCGGCGTGCTTACCATCGGTGCGACCTTAACCACCGTGGCACACTTTCAGTAACACCGTGCTTCGTTCCTCAACAACCATACAGATTTCAAGCCGCTTCCGTTTGTCGTTACTTCGCGCGATCAAGGTGGAGATCATGGTCATTCGCGCCATAAAGCTCATTTCAAGCGATCGGTATTCGATATTGGGATTGAAATCGGAAAATTCAATTTATGTAATTTCGCGTAACAGATTGTAAATGTAATTACGGATAATGCGGAACGTAATGGAGGAGTAATAATTCAATTGACGACTTCAATCGCTAATTGTTTCAGCTACGAACTTGTATATTCATTTTCTTAATCTGTTTTAACTGTGCATTGAACTTGAATTATTTCTCAAGGAACTCCACATCAGTTTTTCTTCAAGACAAAACATTTTTTTGTACCTCAGCAATATTTGTTAACATTTTTATCATTTTTTTATAAAGAGTAATAATTGTTTAGTATTTTTTTTTATTTATTTTTTTTTTTTAGGGAAGATTAATAGAATGCAATTCTCTACATAACAAAGTTTTAATTATTTAAAAATTTTTGTTTCATGTTTCTTATGCAAATGTTATTCTCGCGAAAGTGAATTAAGAAAAGTAAATCAAAAATGATCGAATTGCTCATCATTAACTCAACTTTATTAGAATCTTCAGCGTTCCGTGTCAGCTGTCGTGGCATACTTTCGTTTCTGAATCACCGTGACCGCGTGTCACATATTTTCTCTACCGTGTCTTCGAAACCGAGTTGTCACTTTAGTGTCTAGAATTTACACAAGAACAGGATACGGCATCAGTCTACAAACAACCGGCAACGAAAAGAATTTGTGATTTTAGCTTGTGTACGAATCTTTGCATATCACAGTTGTGTTTAGCGAAGAGACTTTTCCTCGCAGAAATTTATTACTCCGGACACATTTTATTATTCTAGATTCTAAGTTGTACACGCTACTATTACAACGATGGGTTTCTGTCGAAGGAAATTAGTTATTTAGAAGAAAATTAAATAGAGATGCTTCCCGAGATTATGTACGTTACAAATTACAGCGGAAGCGTCTATCCTTCATTGCAGAATGCGGTGTATCCAGTACGTGTCGTTATGCCTGATCGCGCTTGTCCTGGGACAAGCTGCGGCGTTACCGCAGCATCCTGTATACCCGCAGCAGTATCAGCAACAACAGGTCGGAGGGGAAAGAAAATTCGCGGAGAAGCCGAACGCGATGAAAAAGGTGGCGATCGACGATCTTGAGGACATCAGCACTAATCAGATTCAGGTGATTTGCAACATCTTCCTCATTTTTTCACAGTTCTTGGCAATTATTACTTTTTTTTTTACCAATTATTTTTCGATTTCCGCAGGAGGGTGGCAGCAGCGGCTTCTCGTGGTCCAACATGCTGGGGATGCTGATGCAAATGCTGCTGGGACAGACTGGAGGTGTGACCGGACCTAGCAAGAACGAGATAGACGACGGCGCGACGACGAGCCCGTGGACCAACCTGTTCTCCGTAGGTCTCAGGGTCCTCACGGCGCTTCTGGGCGTGCCTCAGCAGCCGGTAGACGGTATCGACAAGGTGGATAATCAGAATAGTCCTATGCAGGTAAGTGAAGATAACCGTGACGTTCCGTTATTCGTACATCGTCTCTCCGCCGACGGTGTCGGCAATGCGGAATCGGTTCGAACAGAAATGATTGTTACTGTCACGCCTCGATCGTACGCTGTACATTGAATCAGCTGCTCTCCGTAGTCGCCTCCACGCTACATAGATTTTAAATCGCTATTAGCATACGTAGCACGTATAGATACAAGAGAGAATTTTGCAAACTGTAAGATTCACTAAGCGTGTTGTCTGAAACGTTGACCTCCTTTTGTCGTGAAGGATTCTCTCCTCTTTTACGAGGATATTAATGGTCAGCGCCGGATTCACATCCGCAACTAAATAAATTGGTGCGCGGAAACTTGCGTTTTAAGAATCTCTTCTGTCATCTTGACGGACATTGAAAAATATTTCGTGTGTATTGTTTTATTCAGCAACACTTTACACTTTAACATTTTTGATTATTATTTTATTGTGAAGAACATTTCGTTTGTGTTGTAATATTTAGAACAAGTTGAAATCCGGCGCTGAGTAGAGATTTATGAAACACGCACGGCTGCTTACGGTCCGAGTCAGCTTGTACAATGACTCGAGAGGATGTGTCGCATAATTATCTTAATCGCAACGAGGAATCATTATTTTCACGCACTTGCGTCACACCATCTCGCCATCTTCACGTTTTCTACACAATTTAATTCATTTCATGACCGGAAACTCACCGGCAATTTTCACCTCGTCTCGATCTTTTGCTCTTGACGATCACATTTGCGTGAAGGAACTAATCGAGGCGGTGGCTCAAGAAAAAGGGCGAAAAGTGAACGAAAAAATTTCGCGGAGAAATCTATTAAAATTCATAAGTTTACCTCAGCGATAACTACGGCTTCATCAGTATAATTAATGGAGATATAATTATCTTCACATGTTCCGTTAATTATGTGTTAAGCAGCAGTTAATTGGTTTAATGCGTTAATTAGCTAATAATTAACATAATGCGATTACGTTAAAGGGATCACGATGTATATATATATATATATATATATATATACGTTGCACGCGTGCGTCTTCAAACATTCCGAATAAAAATTACAATCGCATTTTTCTGAGGAAAACAACTTCTTTCGCTAACGCGCTTTTTCTCCAGCCATCTCCTCGATTCACGCCACGTGGATAAAAGATCCGCACGCGACACTTGCATCAGCGCACCAGACAGAAAACACACGCTCTCACACTACCCTTGTAAATAATTGTCAAACATTGGATTTAGCGCACATTTGTGGCTGGTGTCGGTTGTTTAGGCAATATTGACTGCGGTGCTGGGCGCGTTTCTAGGACAGGGCAGAGACCCCGAACAGATTGCTGTAATGGCGAAAAATGCTTCCGAGGTCAGTACAAGTCTGCAAATGAACATGTTCGACAGATAAGAGCTGAGAGGTACTTCATCTTGCTTCGGTGAGAGTTAGAAAAAAAAATACACGCTTTTATTCGTGTGCCTGCTGCGTTAAGTATATTAGAAGAGAAATTAAGTTAATTTTGCCAGCTGTGTCTGATATTTTTATTAGAATACCTACTAATCAACTTGCACTGTTTCGCCTTTCGAAATTGTCTGATCTGTTAGTCCATTGCAGACGCATCTTGTAACAAATATCATTTTAATTAAAGGAGTTGTAAATATGAATTTAGTGTCGAGATTAAATTTCAAGCAGCTTTGCACGGGAGATAATTCTGGGCTTTGATGGGCTAGCAAATGACAATCATGACTAGTCATTTCTTGAGAAATATGTAATATATGTATAGTTAGTATATGTTATATTATTGTAATTGAATGATGAATCACAATTTTGTGTATCTATACTGTATTCCTTAAACTGCTTGATGTAATCTACTTTAAAATACACATCTTTACGAATAAATTTTCGCTCACATCTTTGCTTGTCCGTGTTATTAAGCAGTTCATCAGCATAGTCATCAATCTGCTGGACGCCTTGAAAACCTCGTTCTCCCATCGCTCTCTGACGGCTCGCTCGCTCGGAAAACGCGACACCATCTCCGACGCCGCGATAGCGTCGATCTCTATGCTGAAGGTAAAATAATATTTAGAAGTAAATTTAAATAATTGTTTTAATAATTTGTGATTGTGAAAATTAAAAAATATGTATGACTACATAGAATTTATATCTTCAGATTGAAGTATAATCCCGTTATAATTCTAAATTTGATTCTAGGGTTATATGAGGTCCGTTAAGTCCTTCAGCTACGTAGGTCGCGCCGAGGAGGAAGGTCAGCGCGGATGCGCCGAGAGGGCTCTTTGCGAGGCCAGCGCGGAGTGTATCGCTGACACGCCAGGCCCGTCGTCGATCTTCTGCCAACTTGGATCGTGAGTGTTTAGTTCATATCTTCAGTAAATCTCGCGTAAATCACGCGCGACAATGGCATAACTTAATTCATTATCTAGTTTTTGTTATACTCGTAAAATTATCTTGAATGCTTATCGAAATCTGAACTCATAAAGCTGATTTTCGCAGGTACGCGACGAGCTATCTTCTGCAGAGGCAGAGCGGCGTCGGCTTCGAGGCCTTATACGAAGCAGGACGACGCGGCCGCACGGGCGAGGACTGCAGGACCCTCTTCATGGATTGCAACGCCGTATGAGCACATTTGTCTTCGCGGCGTTCCGTCAAGCGTGGCTTAGATTCTGTAGGACTTCATAATCTCCGTCGTTTTACATTATAGTTAACTAAACGACACGAAAGTCTCATAGTCATCTAAAAGACGTCTGGAAAAAGGACGTTGCTTAGATGGCTCTCAGAAATTTAAATACTATTTATTACCAAGCCATTTTCGAATCGACTCGGATCAGTAAGGATTTACGGTGCCTCGCTATCTTAGCCACGCTAGAATGGAAATGTAGATTTTAATGAATGCGGCCGCAGGCGCTCGAGGAGCGCGCTGAGCCGGGATTCGCATCGAATCTCGCCGACAGCTCGGCGACCTCATGACTGAATCGTTTCTTCGCGCGGCGAATTCGGCGCGCGTGTAACTAAAATAGCGCATTCTAAGGCAAATCTCGAAAAGCAGAATTATTTTTACGAGTGACTGTGTGATGTCGCGAGTAAACAAAATGTTCAATAGTCCAATCTCACCAAGACTCGTCTCGTAAAGTAAGAGATTTATGTTCCAATGAAAGTTTTCGGTCGCCTATTTATCGCATTGAGAGTTGCGAATTTCCTTCCGTATCGATCGCCGAGTTCCGCCACGCCGATTACATAATTATATTCTTATTTCTATTTATTATTAAAAGCGTATTAAATGTAGGCGTAGAGAGAGTGCCCGTGGTTGGGACTCGACACGAGTTCCAGTATTCTAGCTACGGTGACTGCAATACAAGGTAGCGGAAGCTTGATTGTTGGTACTTTTACGTGCACAATGCGCAAAATACACACGATGTCCGAAACTTCATGTACCTTGGAACAATGAAATTCATGTCGAATCAGACGGATGAAACCAGTGCCGTTTAATGATTAGGTAGAAAAATTAGCGTTTCGCTCTGTCGTACTTAAAAATTCTTACAGTTTCGGCACATTCAATTTTTGATGCAATAAGTACGCGAGAAGGAATCTCATGACAATTGTGTCATTTTCCGTGTGCCTGTAGTCTCGAAAATTGAATTCAGGGTAACTGTACTAGTTACAAGTTCTGCACTTAATGCCTAAGTTATTACACGCATCGCGCATTTAGCATTAAATGCAGGGTATGTACATGAAGCGTTATGATAGTAAGGCTTTTAGGGAGGAAGACGCGCTTAGAGCTGTTGGAGATAATGGATCGGTAATATTGTTGTGCTCGATGAGCTTCGTTCGAATACCGTTATCGTTCTTATGAAAGAAAAATAATTGAAATTATTTAGGTCTGTAATTTTTATAAGAAATTTAAATGTTATTCTACTCATTAATTTGTCGATCTACAAAATAAAGTTTGATTTTCAAAGAGTATAGCTCTTTTATTATATTTAGGAAATAAAAACGTAAATTTTACTCTAATTTATCCTAAATCAAAGACGAAAAATGCAACTAGCAAATTAATAAAACAGCATTAAACTTCCCATACAAGTCTTACAGATATTTTACAATAACAGTGTTCGAACGAGTTTCGTTCTCCGAATGGCCCTCCCTATTTAACGTACGTGTTAATGTCTCAGGATGTTATAATTTCTTTCCTTTAGCAACCGCCCTGAATCTATTAGCTACTGTATATAGATACACATGTATACGGGTGGAGTTAACTTTTCGTTATTTCTTTTTCTGTAATATCCACGTAGCGCTCTCGTTAGTACACATGGCATAGGCGTAAGTTGTATGTATATGTGTAGTACGATTATATTAATATATACACCAATAAACATTATTTATCAAGCATCCGGGCGTCCATCTCTTTCTCGCCGAAGAAGTGCTGGGAACATTCCACAAAATGCATCTTTTAAAATCGCCCACGATTGAATTTTGCAGAGATTATACAGAGATTATTCAGCGGCGTCATCTGAAGAAGTTTTAACTCATCGATTTTTAGAAGAAATTTTAAACTCACCAATGAAAGTATATGTTGATACAGTAGTAACGGATCATTATGCACACGCGAGTGACATTTACTGTATTCTGAAGTAACAATGTCCGGAAGGACGAAGCTCCAAGTCGCCGTCAACGAGCGTGAAGGCTTCAGGAACCGTGACCGTGTCTTCATGCCGGGTGACGAGGTTTCTTATTACGAAACAGTTTTATACTGAATCTTGTCAAAGGAGGAGAGTTCCCCGAATTGTCTCAGTGTTGCGTAATTTTGGAGATCCTTTTCACGTAATCCTTTCCATCAAACAAAGTGAGCAATTTGTATTTCAAAATATATAATTATCTATGATAAATATAAATTGTAGTAAATGTGCAATTTTTTTGTTAATATATTGATAAAATGTGGAAGTCATTTATAGACGTCATTTTTTTGCATAGATGACTTTCAAAACTTTGATCAACCTTGGAGGCTTTGGGAAAGCTCCTTGGGATATGCATACCGAGCATTATTACAACGATCATAATCGCGGAGGACATCACGGAGGACATCACGGAGGGTAAGACAAATATCATCAGTTTTAAAATGCATAAATATCAGAAAAGCAAAAAATTGTTTACTCTCAATCACTGTATAATTACTCTTTCAAATTGTAGGAGCTCCAAAAAGGGCGGAAGTGGTGCTGCTCTGAGTGCATTGACCCTGCTCGCCTTCCTGTTTCTCTTAAACGTTATGCAGGTACATGCAATTTCAAACGATTGTGCAATCACATATTTTTGAAACTTATCTAAAAGTTACTGTCTTAATTTTTTGCTTCAATACTTGATTTGCAGCATTTACTAAATAATTGATCATTAAAATTTACTTTATCTAGTATTAAATTCTTTAATTTACAAAAAAGCTTTCTTTTTTTCACAGAAACATTAATTCTTCAAAAATCTATTACAGAATTTTTAAATTAATAAAATATTTCATATACATTTTTTTGCCATACTTTATGGGGTTTAACATTTTCTATCACTTTTCTAACATACTCTTGCCTTCTTTCAGCAATCTCTGCAAGATAATAACTCGACAACTCCGACAACTACAGCGTTTTTGTTACGAGAGACCGACCAGTTGCCGATTGTGTTGGACAGCAAAGAAGATAGTAGCAAGACGAAGGACGATCTCGCATATACAGCAAGCACGTATGGATCGAGGACACCAACTAAGGATTACGTGAGGGTGCGATATGAGGATTAACCATTTGACAGTTCTAAAATTCCTGAAAAACTTTCCTCTTAGATATCGGTTTCTCTATATTTAAGGTATTTATGTTTTTTTAATGTAATAAATTATATGATAGTTCTAAAGATAAACAATAAACATGTACATGAATTCAGTATCTCGATGAAAATATCAGTAACAGCAATGAAATAAGAGCTGCGATTGCCATTAGATGAAATTCAAGAACGACTGTCAAGTGATCAATACGCCAGCAATTAACGATGCGAAATAATGCAGCCACTCATCAAAACACATAAACAGTTTATTTTATTTTATTTCTCTCTCTTTCTGAACATGAGATTAAACGTATCATCATCGTCGTCCTCGTCGTCCTCGTCGTCGTCATCGTCGCCGTCGTCGTCCGTCGCGGTCGAAATTTGTTCATCAGCATTCGAAAATGCACACTCCCGATCCTACAATCTTATTTACATAACATTAGAAACATTTAAATATTTTTATTCCATTTTTTTTTGTCATAGTCTTACATTGCATGAAAAATAATCACGAACGATCATGTATTGCTAGGGGAATGGGCGATGGGCGTTTCTCTCCCGCGTGCCGACACGTCCGAGGAGAGCTCTCCCGGATTTGCTCGTCTAACGACGATCAGAGCGGCCAATTTCCTCGAGCGTATCCGGCAATTTTGACGAGGTCGGTGGCGAATAGCGATGGGCAACCTGCAGTTCGTTATTCTCATCTCATTCAAAGACTGGGGAACTGCTGAATCGCGTTGAAAAGTTCAAAGTGAGATTTCTAAGCAAATATATGCGAGCTTCGAATGCCAAACAGTTGTATTATTCATGATCTCGCGCGCGTTAATGCGGTCGCGAAGGAAACGGATGATTAAACGAGGCAGCGGGTTGCCCGTCGTGTCGCTCCGGTCTCTCGCTCTGCACGCTCGCCTAGAAAAGATTAGAAAAGGTATCACGGGTCTAAAATTTCGTCGTAAGTCTTCGAACTGTTCGGAGGGTGGTCACGATTATTCTTCCACGATTAGTCTCGCCGAAGGCTAAAGAATTCGACGATGATTTTTGCCGGGACGGGCCACCCTCGCGAAAAAGAAGCGAGCGGGGTGTGAGATCCGCTTGTTTTTTTTTTGTGTTTTTTAAGATTTCTTTTTCTCTCTTTGTCACACGGGTCGTCGGCAAGATCGCGCTTCGACGGGGATTTTGCGGACGACCGTGGGGCTCGCTCGAATTATTTCCTAGGCGAAAAAAGGGCACAGTTTCCTACGAACCGAAAGTGACTCGCGCTTCTGTGAAAGTCGAGCGAATTTCTACGCGTGTTGGCGCAACGGATGGTTGAAAAGGTGGAAAACTTCGAGAATACAACTGACAGAATAAATAGAAGAATTAAACAAACATAATTGAATAATCTAAATTTTGATCAAAATAAATTTAAGAGAATTTTATAATATTGTATATTTAATTTTTTACTGAGAAATTAATCTCAAGAATCTTAAACTTTCAGGATTTGATTTCGGTTTTCCATCTCTGATCATGATGTTAAAATATGATCGTACTGTGTGAACAAATCAAACGCGACAAAATGCGACGCAAATTATGCGGAAAAAAGGGGTTCAACGGTTTCGCTGATGCGAAAATACATCGATCTTTCGCGGAGCGCGACTCGCCTTCGATCGTGAATTTATTACAATTCGTTTCGTCGCACGCAAACGCAGCCGATCGATTGCCGCGCAGGACTGTGCAGGAATCGAAACCGAGTATAATCCCGATCGAATTCAAGTTCCGACGCCGCCACAGGACACGCCAGAGACGGATTTTCCTATACTTTAATCCGCGGCGGTGAAAACGACGCGACAGCTACTACGAGATAAGATCGCAGCGATTACGAGTGAATGCGTGCCGTTGCAAGAGTACTTTCCTAAAGATAGAATCAACAATCGCACAATTCTCTTATTTTTCTTAACTATATATAACTATTTGAACGAATTGCCTCTCGACGAGCTTTACGATCGCTAATACTTTTGCCGTTGGAAAAGTGTGTTACACATTTAATCCTAATAATTCCATTCCCTTTCCGCGTCCGCGGCGTCGAAAATTGAACACATAAAAATTACGCATGTCCAGATCCCTGCTCACTTATATATATATATGTAGATATATGTATAATATATATATTTATATATTTATATATAATATACTCTGAAAATTTGTTTAGCTAAACATCAAAATCTAAAAGAAAGGAAATTATCCTGCACGAGACGTTTAGCTACATGCAAATTGCATTCAAGTCTCCGCGAGATCGCCCGCTACGCGAATTGCCCGTCCCTTCGGCCCCGCCGAAAGAAGAGAAAGATAAGGGGGAAGGGACGGGCACGTCCGATCGATTCGCCGCGTTATAGTTTAATCGCTTACATATCTATTAATCAATTAATTCATTTCTCGACTTAGCTACTTCACGTCCGAGCGGGGGGGGGGGGGGCGGAAAAGAGTGTGGGGGGGGAAACAAGGGTGGAAGCAGAATGATGACACACGGGGCTCGACTCAATTCCAATATGCAATCAATGATGGGATTTCCGAGGGAGAAAGAGAGAATCACGCCGAGCGAAGCAGAAAACGAAGAATAAAGCGAAATAATAATTAACAAAATTGTATTCACTTCTTTTGGCGTTTGAAGAACCTGAAAGGATTAGAAGGATACATTTTGGAAAACTTTGGTGAGTGAAGAAAACCATGTTCCTAAAAAAGATAAGTTTTAGTTATACAAAGAAATAAATAGTAATTTTACTTTCGTCAATTTTTTTCCTTAAATCGCTCGACGCAGCAGACATTACGTTTCGATAAGATGTTTCTGTCGGATATAGCTTTACGTTGAACACAATACAGCTTTTTCATATATCACGTAGAAAACACATGTTAGAAAAGCGACATCGAACATAACTGTTGAGCGAAACCGATTATCAGTTAAGTATCGAAATAATCGATAACAGCGTTTTACGTACGAGACGGACCGAAGAGATAAAGAAATAAGCCAATCGCGTGAAAAAAATCTGCGATTTCGCTCGATAAAGCGTAGATTTTGATTTGACCTCTTTTGAACTCGCTACACACATGTGCTATATGATGAGATTTCCGACGCCAAATAAAATTCGATTACCGTTCTCCAATTAGACGGGCAATCAGTCGGTCATCGATGTAACGGTGCGAGTCGAACGGTTTTCATCGATAATTAATCGAGTCCATTAACTCGTCCTTAATTAATTCATTTTAGACAGCTTCGGTTATCGGGTCACGCGTGTCTGGTTTCGAATAAAAATAGCTAATTATTTTTTAACTGACCGAATCTCTCTCGCGTGATATCTAAAAAATAAATTTCTCTTCGCGATAAAAATGATATTTGGTTCATCACGTATTTTTACTCGCAACGCGTAGCGATACATCTTTTATTTTGAGAGTCCATTATAAATTAATCAACTGCAATATAATCGAGCTTGCAAAGGTAAAAAAATTAAATTTAGATTAATTTTCTCAAATTGCCGAGAATGTAAATTGGAATTGTATTTCTGTGGAATCCTTCGGCTGTTTCGAATTCCTCGGTGCGAGTCAATAGAGTCTAGAAAGGCATGTCTGGGAGATACGACTACTGCATTCGACCGACTTTATTCAAGGCATTATTACTTCAGTGCAATACCGGAGATAAGAGCAAACTGTGTCTTTACATTTATGATGTTTTAACGAGACGACCCTGACCCAGTGTCACGTAAACAAGAAGCAAAATTTGGCCTGGATCGATACGGCCTGTAAAACGTCAGAGGCGTCATATAAAAATTAAAAATACACAGCAAACTGGAACGCCAAAAGAATCTAACGTAAAGATTGTGAAAACCGATTTGTATGTCCAAAGCGAATATCTCGAATAGGTATTGCTTTTAATTTGCGATTGCACAAATGAATTTTACAAATGAGTGAATCTCCCATTTTATGAATCTGGATTCATTACTGAAGAGTAAAATCGAATTTGCTCCTGAAATCGTAGGCCACAATTAGCTTAATTAACCACATATTATTCCACAGAATTTCATTGCACGTTATTTCTTTTCTTTTCGCCTCTGTCTAGAAATAATTAAACTCGTGCGAGAAAAGAGGTCAAACTATCGCGTCATCGAGCTACTTTCCGAGCGCGCGAGACGAAGCAACCCCTCCACAGACACTCGATTATCTTTGGTACGTTTCAGGAGGTAGATAATATAGAATTCTTTCTCTATTGTACGAGCTCGACACTTACGGAACGCGCACGCGATTGATAAAGCGCATCTCATCTCGGTTCTCATGGAATTTTTAGCCCGAGCTAAATCGACGGAGAATACGCTGCTCTTTTGATATCAGCGAGTGATTCGCGCGAATGATGGCTCGCCAAGCCGGCTCCGGAACGCGAAGGGGATGACGAGAGATCGAGAATGGGACGAGTACAGAGAGAAATCGCCGGCGTTAATATTAAATCTAAGAGCGTTCACTATACGAACGGTGCGATAGTTGGAAAAAATCCGTGCGCGCCGTTCGGCGGTAACGTTAGATCGATCCGATCGATCGTGCACTTGACGAGGTACTCCGACGAGTACGATTGCGTGGCGATTAGCACGCCGTAATATAGCGTAAATGCATCTGCGTTCTGGTCCAAAGAGTAGCGTGCAATATACCGGCAGCACCGTTCCCCGGGCTTTCTCGCGCCGCGTTACGGTCGTCGTTTTTATCGTAAATTGTTATCATACAAGTTCGAAAAAACAATCGATCAACGAATGATCGCGCCGGTTCGTCCGGCTCAACATTGAATAAACTTCTGTAATCTCTGTGAAAGAGATCAACGTGCTCACGGAAATATACATACCTACAAATCTACGCTTATCTACATGATATGAAGCTTCGAAAGCCCGCCCGGGCGCCGCGGCACCTCGCCTCGTCTCACGCAGGCGTGTATATAATAATTGATAAAATAATGTGTTTATTCCGCTTTCTTACCGTTTGTTCCGGAGAAGAGGCGAGATCCGAGCGACGCCCGGGCGTTTCGCCGACGTTTCGGTAGCGCGATTCCCTCTCGGCGCAGAAAACTAGCGATAGTTGATGAAGATTTCGGTAGAAACGTTAGCGAGCCACCATCCGGATCTCCCTCGGTCGCAAGGAAGCACCGACGCGCATACATGTGACAAACCAGAACGATAATGCCGTTTGATCGTGATTCTATTGTTCCAAAGACTCTTAAATTCATATTCTTAAAAGGTGCGATATATAATTTTCATTTCTCTTCCTCTTAAATATGGATTTAAGACGATTCGGAGAAGACAACTCTTCGATTACGAAGCCGCGATTACGAATGCGACTAATGTCGCTAGTTGATAAAAAAGAATTACAACGGTTGCGACGTTGTCGCGAAAATCTGATCTGAAAGTACACGATTTAACACGGGACGCGAGAATGGTTTGATTAATATATGCCGCGAGATATTGCAGTCGTTGATGTAGAACAGTTCGACAACGGTGCGTCTTCGATGATCGGAAGTGTTTTATCGGCGTGTGCGTCGCGCGCTACGACCTACCGAGAAGCGTAGAAACGACTCTGTAACTCCACTCGATTCGATTCCTCCTTTCCTCGAAGCTCCTTGTTCACCTTCCCGGTTTTCCTGAAGAAACCAGACGGATGCGGCGACGACGCGACGTCCGTTCGTTTGTCCATTTCGTAATCGTGCCGCCCTCCGATTCTTGTCGAAGGGAGGAACCTCAGAGATTCATTCTCTGACGGAAAGAAAGGAAAATCCGAAGACTCTAAGGCGTGGGTGCACTATGCAAGTAGCATTATTATTGGTGCTGGTTCTCGTCGTTCTCCTCTTGCGATATGATGCTCGACCTGTTGGATCGCACGTCGAGATCCATGGCGAAGGGCTTCGTCGAGTTGCCGAGGAGCGCCTGCGTGCTCTGGCCGTCGTCGATGCTCAGCGAGCACTCCAGCGAGCTGTCACTGAAAGTACAGAAACAGATTTCTACTCGTCACTAGCGCCTTCGCGGATCGCCCCGGGTGGGACACGTGGTTTGGCTTGCACTGACAATCGGCGGTCGATCGTTTTACCTGACGATACTAGCGCGGTCGACGGAACCGCCGCCACCGCCGCCGGAAGCCGACGCCGTGCAATTCTCACCGTTGCACGGTCGCTCGCCGTTGCTGCTGCACGAGGAGGTCCTGGTGCTGGTGCCGGTGCCGCCGGCGGACGAGGTGGTCGCCGTTACCGCAGCCTCCCTCATGGACGCCCGCCTCGACTCCTCGTGGCACTCGCACTTGCACTCCTCCGGCTGCACGTAGCTGTAGCCGCCGGTGATCGCCTTCGTGATATCGTCGTCTGGCCGCGGTATCGTCTGTATTCGCTTCGGCGCCTTCCGCTTCTCCGGTATCTCCTCGAAATTGATCCAGTTGCTCGGCCGCGCTGTCGCTGATGATGATGATGATGCTGCTGCTGCTGCTGCTGCTGCTGCTGCTGCTGCTGCTGCTGCTGCTGCTGCTGCTGCTGCTGCTGCTGTTCCCGCAGCCATCGCTGCTGGTGCTCTCGGTGGCAGTGGAGGTGGACTGGGTGATTTTCCTTGGGCGGTAGCGCCCTTACGACCGCCATCAGGCGGCACCTTGCCCGCAAACTCCGTGAACGTGTTCGCCGTGCTGGCGTACTGTCGCCGCGGGCTCTTCAGCTTGAAACTGTCCTCCCGCGGCAGCGATATCTTCATTCGCTCCACGCGACGCTCGTCCATCGCCTGCATCACGAACTCGTCCAGTAGAGTCGGGTTTATCGGCGTCGTTGAGCGTGGTCTCTCGATGGGAATCGTCCTGAATTAAATTCATTTCGCAGGTTATTATCGTAAGCTGAATGACAAAATTGGAAAATCAATCAAAATAATTCGAAATAACTTTCTATATTGATTTTCAGGTTGTAATTTTAATATGCGGATTTGCGCACAATCTTTCACAGTTACCTTACTTCCTGAAGTCGTTGTTTAACAGGCAGGATAGGTATGGCGACACTCTTCTCCAGGGGCAGGGTCGTAGGTACGTACGGAAGATCCTCCTCGAAACTTTCCTCGTAGAAGAGACCCTTCCGCTCGTCCGGCAGCTCCTCGGCAAGTTTCTCGACCTTGTTCCGGATGAACTCAATCTCCGAATCCCTCTCGGACTCCGAGCTGTTGTGATCCAGGTCAGATATCACGCTGGGTGTTTTCACCAGGCCGTCCTGTTGCGACTTGCCGACCTTGTCGTCGAGGAAATCGGGTTTCTTGGCCTCCTGCGCGACCCGCGGCGCTTCCCTCGAGCTCGCTTTCTTCTGCTGCGCCGCTGCGCCATCGTCTATCCTTTCAGGTGGTTCAGGCTGTGACTGCTGACTCTCTTTGCTCTTCCTCTTCGGCTTCGGTATGTCCGGCTTCCTGCCCGTGGACTCCTTCGGCAAGCTGCCGGACGACACTCGCGAGTCCGGCGACTTGACCTCCGATTTAAGCTCCGTTTTAGTCGGTGTCGTCGATTTTGCCTTCGGCGTTTCGACTACTTTGTTCGCCTGCGTGCTGATCTTCGAGTCCCTCGACGAGCTCTTCGATATCTGCGATTCCTTGGACGTGCTCTGCGGAAGCTGGCTATCCTTAGACGAACTCCTAGGCACGATTCGCGTCGCCGTCTCGATCTGAGCTTCGGTCCTGATCTTGGCGATGACCGACACCGGCGCCGGATGATGCTCGATCGACACCTCCGTAATTATGCTGCCTGCGCGCGGTCCTTCGATTTCGTACTCGTCCAACAGCTTGGTCGGCGTTTCCAGCGGTATCGAGACGCTCTCCGACGGCAGGGCCTCCTCGTAGTTCCTGTCGTCGGCGTGCAAACTGATGAAGATGGAGTCGTCTTGGCGGCTTTTGTCCCTCTCTGTGTTGAACGTGAACTCAACTTGACCGATACTGTCGAGGGACGGCTGCTCCGCACTTCCGCTCGGCATGTCGAGGTTGCACGAGGCCGCAATCGCCTCATCGTAACTTTTCTTTCTCTCACGCTTCTTGAATAAGCTTAACGTGGACGAGAACACGCCCTTGTTCTTCGAATCTTTCTTCGGAGTCACGCTCTTGTCGGCGGAAGCTCTCTCGCGCGATTTCGAACGGCTTCTCAGACTCTCTGTGGTGTCCTTCAACTTCGACGTCAGGCTCCGCCGTGGCTTTGTGTTAGGTGATGGCGATTCCGGGCTCAATACGCTACCATCGGTTCTACTACCCTGTTTAATCGCAAATATTATAATCAATAATCCAGTTGTTGTGGAAAAATTAAATTGAACGCAAACTTATAATTTTTCAATTAACATTGAAATAAAATTAAGACAAACTTAAAAAAAAAA